CATATAGGTATGTGTGTGTGTGTGTGTGTGTGTGTGTGTGTAGCCAAATTTTGTCTGTCTTGAGATGTATCAGGAATGTTTTTTGAGGGGCAGGGCAGCAGGCTGATGTTTCAGGTTTGCACATTCAAGGAAACTTCTCAGGCATTATGATCCCCAACCCCGCCAGGCCTCCATCTGAGAGGTCAGGCAGGAGGGATGTCTGGGATCTGGTGGTGGTCTCCTAAAACAAATGGAAGTCACACATTCATTTTTCTTGATATCCTCTTGTAGCATGAAGTCATTTGTCATGGAAAGCCGATTGGAAAGGATACCACTAGGGTACTATGGAGGTGGTGGTCCAGCAAGGACTTGACCTTCCTGGGAGGAGCAGAGTTCCTTGAGTCCGTGTCCAGTCCACCTGTAATCCCACCTTACTCCACACAAGGTGGTCAACAGCCACACCCCAACTTCCTAAGTGCCCCCACCCAGACCCGGAATGTTTATGTGGGGTTGGGGGTGGAGGAGGGCAGAAGTGGGTAAACTCTACAACTATCTAAATAGTCTCTTTGATACCACAGTAGGAAATCTAAGGTTCTTGAAGCTCCATTGTCTGATAGAACAAACTCTGCAATCCTGAATTTAGGGAGAGAAAACATAAACTTCATCCTACTCCTCCCAAAGTCAGTTTTCAAGTTGTTAGCCTGCTAATGAGGCCCTCGTGAGCCTGCTAAAGAAATGCGGTACTGCTGAGACAGAAACTCTTCCCCCAGTGACATGCAGATGGCCAGCCCGCCCCCACCTCCTGGTCCAGTCCATGGTCATCTCGGGGTGGGGGGTGGGGTTTCTCTTAAGACTCCACTCACCACACTCCTGGGCACCCTGGGAGGCCCACTTCATTGAGGAGAGTCATTCTTCGGGTGGACTTTTATTTCTCTAGAGCGAAACTGGTTCACTTGGTAACACTTGTCAGCATGCACCATTCGTGTCCTTGGGTTTGGATCGGCAGTTCCTCCACATGTTATTGAATGGTGGAACTCTTATGTATCATGGCACTGGGTCACAGAATGCCTCCGACTCTCCCACAGGCCTTCCCTGTGATTCTCTGGGTCTCCTAGGATAGGCCCTGCTTCACCTGCATCAGCAATGTAGTGCTGGAGTCTAGTGCCCAGGACAGTGTTTAAACACCTGAGTCACAGGCTAAGCAGGTACCACCCACACCTGCCCACTTGGCATCTTCCCACCATTTCTATACACCCAGAAGAGTATACTGAACAAAGTTTCTTGAAGTTAAAGCATTTCACTGTTTATTACTTCCACAGAATGTGGCAGAAAAATAACATTTTTAGGACAGAAAACCACTGAGTGTATCCAGATAAACACAGGCCTAACTTAAGAGTGTACCGGGTTCCATGTCATTTAACCAATGCAGTTAATACACTATGCTTTTCTCCTCATTTTTGTAATCTTACTGAGAAATGTCAAATGAACACAAAAGAGTCTACTGATCAATAAACTTGTGACAACCTTTCTCCCATGGACTCCTGGTTTTAATGAATATGTGAAAGGCAAAGCATAGATCTGCTTTCTAAATGATGCTGAGGCATTAGGGAGAGAGTGTGACTCCTTCCCACCTTCCTTGCCACCCCACACTCTTCCCTGCATCCTCTCTGGGAAGGATTCACTCCTCAAATGAGGCTACTTTGGAAGGAAAGCCTTTCCATTCTGCTGAGCAAAGCAGGCACACGCATGGTAGCAGCTGTGTCAGGAAATAGAGGCTCAAATCCCACTAAGAGTGATTTGAAACCAAGACTGGAGGGAATGGGGAAGGCAGATCTTTGGAGGCTGGGAGCAAAGGCTGTCAACATGGACTCTTTGTCAGTCCCTGCCTCCCACATGACTGAGCTCCTGCCTGGCCACAGTTCACAGCTGTCTTTTTCCAGCAATCAGGGCTTAAAGCCTGAAGTTGGAGTGGTGCTGGGTATGAAACCCCCTACTGGCTATCCTGTGCACAGCAACTTGCCACACAACATTTGAACTGCTGGATCAAACTTCACCTGAAATCCTTATCCTATTGTATTTTTCATTTAAATGTGCCAATGAATTCCCTTAACATTGTTCAAGCCAGTACAAATTGAGATTTATGCAACTTGCAACACAAATAATCCAAAATTATATGCTGACCAATTCACAGGGGCTACACCCAACATAACAAAGGATGAACTGGTCCTGTGCAGGTGTTTAAGCTGCAGTTGAGCTGGCGAGGAGAATAGCAATCCCTCAGATCCACTCAACATCCAAAAGCAGTAGCCTTTGTGTACAGTGTCTGCAGGTCTGGCTGAGCACTCTGCCCTGTCCTCCAGTGCTCACAACCCATGAGATGCCTCGGGAGATGAGGCATCAGAGAAGGAGGCACAAGAACAATCACCCTGGGGTAGAGGAGTGGAGTAACGGGACTTCCTAGTAAGCAGAACTATAAAAGAGTGTGGGCAGTGCTTCATTCTGTTTTAACAGGTTCACTGTAAGTTGGAGCTGACTCAATGGCACCTAATAGAAATGGGACAAGAAGGTTCTGGTCCTGGTTAGAAAATAGAGTGAAAATAGGAAGTAACCTGGTGTGAGTGGGGAGAGGCCTGGCTGGGAAGCTGAAGGCTTTGGAACAGGGTCTGAGGCAAAGGGGAGGCTTTTGTGGTGTGAGCTTGCAGAGGGTAAATCAGGGGATCATGTGTAAGCTGGTGTGAAGGTAGGATAATCAGAGGGCCGATGGTGAGAACTTGCACGCAGTAGGAACAGAAGGGGTGGAGAGTGGTCAAGGAGCCGTGGAAGGCTCAGAAATGAGCAGCCTTTCGTGACTGACTGGACCTGGGGCTGCCAACGAGGAAGAAGTCAGGGGTCATCTTATGAATCCAGAAGTCAGACAGTGACAGGAAGGATATCACAGGGGCAGAGGACAGAGGGAAACTTTCGTCTCGGACAAATGGGAGTGGTTCCCATCCCAAAAGCATGAAGCCTCTCACTATCGCCCTCACCCCCCACCACAGCCCAGCCACATGGCTGCCCTGACCACAGATCTTGGTAGATGAGGTGCCCACCTGAGATGACAGTCTCCTGCAGTCTCCAGGGCTGCTGGGCAGATGCACTCACAGGTAGTTCCATGAAACCACCAGTCAGGATAATTTCTCCTCTGTTATCAAGTCCAAGGCTGCTCAGGAAGGAAGTGAGACACATCTTCCCCCCTGAACCCCAGCCTCAGTCCCCATCCATGTGTAGTCAGCCCTCAAATGCACTGCCATGAGCCCCCAAAAGTTCACACCAACTCTGGTCTTGGAGAATACGGCTGTTTCCACAGCTTTCCTATATGAGTTAATGTCCTGGGGGAGACGCCTGGATTTAAGGAGTACCCCACTTCAACCCCATGTCAGATGAGCGAGCACTCTGTCAGGGCCTGGACAGCCTGGCGTAGCTCAGCTCCAGACTTTTCTTGGTCTCCCTGGACGTGATGGAAAAGGCGATGGATGGCCCAGTATGCTGCCCCTACCCTATGGCTGTGGGTACCCACAGAGGCCCCCCTTGGAAACTGAAGGGCATCCCAGGCTGGGAAATGAGACCAGACACTTGACCAGCCTCTCCTTTGGGATCTTTCACCCAGACTGAAGTGACTCCTTGGTGCCCCCAACCCAGAAGCAGCAAGGTGGGGCTTCCACAAGCCCAGGTGAGTCATCTCATGGGACTCAGTGTCCAGGACCCCCAACTGGGAACAAGGTGGAGGATGATGAAGGGGCTCCCCCAGCAATGGCCTGGAGCATTCTTCAGCCACCCCCTCCCAGTCTGCTCCACACCCTGCCACAGGTGGGAGGACAATGCCCGCTGTGTGTGCAAGAGGCACGCTGACTCAAGGGGAGGGCCAAGCAGCCAGCTCAGCCCGCCTCTCCTGATGTCCCTCTCCTCCCTGCACGACCCCTGATCACCAGCCATCTGCATCTGCCCAGCGGGCCTCCTCTCAGGGTCCAGATTCACCAAGGTGAGCAGTCTCCTCTTTTCCTTCCCTCTGCCCTGTTAATCCAAGGGGCAGCAGCCAAGCGCTGCCGTCCAATGGTGATGTCTAGCAGCAAGGGGCTCTGAGAACAATCTGGAAGATTCCTGTGACCTTCAAACCAAGAGCACCAGAGTCTTACCTGGCTAGGCTCCAAGCCACAAGGGTAGGGGGACGACAATCTGACAGGAAGGGGTCCTCATGCTCCTTACAGAGACACAACTTTCCCAGGGAACCAACCATCAGTACCCACATTCCCCAGTCTCCACCTCCCAGTATCGCAAGGCTTAGGGAAATGCTCAGTCCCCTCATCCCAAAAGGACTGCAGCCTGATGGCTGGTCCCCATCAGCTACAGACCCTCAGTCCTGTGGTCCCTGTAGAGGGAGCTCGTGAGCCTGCTCTCCCAGCCCAGGTCCTGCCATGGATTCCGAGTACGAGGTGGGTCACGTTCGCAGGCTGCAGGCCCAGCACACGCGGATGCAGGAGAAGACTTTCACTAACTGGATCAACAATGTCTTCCACCATGGCCGGGTAAGTGGGGCCAGTAGTGCCCACAACCCGCCCCAGCTGTGGTCCCAGCTCCCTGGCCCACTGTGGATAAGCGAGGAGTGTGAGGCATCTCCCGACACCACGACAGAAGTGAGTCAGAGCTCTTCCTTCAAGGCAGCTACCGCTGACCAGAGATGCCCAGGTCCCCGCAGGGAGCAGACAGACAAGGCTGACTGACCCAGCACCTCTCCCCACCCCTTCCCAGGTGGGCATCAAGATCCAGAACCTGTACACAGAGCTGGGGGATGGCACCTACCTACTGCGGCTGCTGGAGCTCATCTCAGGGGAGGCCCTGCCGCCCCCTAGTCGGGGCCGCCTGCGCGTGCACTTGCTGGAGAACAACAGCCGAGTGCTGGCCTTCCTCAAGACCAAGGTCAGCTGCTGGGAGAGGACATCCGCGCGTTAGGGCTGGGCACTGGGTGGGCAGCAGTGACAGGCCTGAAACTGTAGAATCTCTCTTGTGCCACAGGGAATGGGGAGGGGTGCTGAATAAAGGAGGAACAGGTAGGAGATGGAGGTACCAGAAGCCAAACTCTTGCAAGACTCTTAACATGAGCACCCCCAACTGGCTGAGGCAGCAGCCATCATCCCTACTGAGAAAGAAAAGTGCTTTTGTCTATAGTCAGAGAGCACGACAAGATTTTAAAGATGAAATAATCTTCATGTTCTCTTAATCTTCTAGTTTCATGAATGTGAACACAGAGACTCAGAATTATTCAGCTGACCACAGAGCCTCGTGTGGGGCCATGGCAGGTAGGCTGAGGCCAGAAGGAAGAGGAACAGCCCCAGCCAGGGCCGTGGAGGAGAGAGGAGCAGGTTCTGTCTTAGAGAAGCTGTGCTTGACAGCAGAGCTGAGAAATCAAGGTCACCAAAAAGAAAGGGACAGAGATAGATTCTAAAAGGAAGCTGAAAACACAAGGAGAATGGATGGACTCTGGGTTCTGTTTAAGGAGCAGATACAACATTAGGGGTGGCCAAGTTTGATTTCTACCCACTTCATATAGGGGAACTGTCCCCATCAATAATATCCATGTTTTTGTTGTGTACCATCAAGCCACAATTGAGCCCCAGTGGGTTTTCAGAGGCAGTTAATCCCATGGGAGGAGATTTCCCATCCTTCTCCCATGGAGCAGCTGGTGGGATTTGAAATGCATGCCTTCGGGATTACAGCGCAGCTTCTTGCCACTAGGCCACTAGAGTTCCCTGTAATGTCCATAGCATTATACAAATAGCCACGCAGACATGCCACCCTACATGCTTCTGCACCTATTTTTACCAATCATTGGATCTGATTTCATTGCAAGACTCACAGACTTTACTCATAGTTGTAGGACTTAATAGGGAAATAGGTTGAAGAGAAGGGGAGGCAAAGAATATCTCACAATTTAAGTCCAGGTTTAGTTCAAGTGTCCTAAACCAGACTATCAAGTCACAGTTCCTCAATTAGTGAAATTCAAAGAAACTCTAGTTTCCTCGATCAAGCTAACTTTATTTCAGAGAGGTTATAATTCATCTTTTCCTTCAATCATCCAGCAAGCAAAACCTTTAACTGTGGCCTTTGTCTCCTGGGTTCCTCTGGTTATATCTTGCAATAGTCTCTTCACAATCTCTCCACCACCATCACTACCATTTACAGTGTGGGAAGCACTTTTATATTGGTCCCACAGCTGCTGATGATTTGTAAGATAATATGCCTTCAGTTAAGTATGACTCACAGCAACCCTATGAACAACAGATCCGAACCCTGTGCTATCCTCACAATCTGATACTCTCTAGCCTATTGCTGTAGTCATTGTGTCAATCTGCCGGTTGAGGATCCTCCTCTCCCCTAGGCTTTCCAAGGCTGTAATCTTTATTAAGGCATGTGATTAGGTATTTTCTCCCTCACAGTTACCACTGGGTTCAAATCACTGACCTTTTGGCTAGTAACTGAGCAGTTTATCACTGCATCACGAGGGCTCCTATCCACACACATAAAGGTTTGGGTTTATAACACATTGTTGTTGTGGTGGTGGTGGTGGTGGTGATTGTTGTTGTTATGTGCTGTCGAGTCATTTGCAACTCATAGCGACCCTATGTACAACAGCCCTAAACTCTGCTCTTTTCTGCGCCAATCACACTGTCTCTGACACACCCATCCCGATTACCCCAGTCACTGAATCGATCCATCTCATAGAGGGTCTTCCCCTCCTGCACTGTCTCTCTACCCTACCAAGCATGATGTCCCTCTCCAAGGACCTGTCTTTCCTTACAACATGTCCAAAGTATGTCAGACGAAACCCCAGAATCCTTGCCTCCAAGGAGTAGCCTGGTTTAACCCTCTCTAGGATGGATCTGTTTGTTTTCTTGGCAGTCCATGGTACATTCAGTACTCTTCTCCAGCACCACAGCTCAAAGGCGTCAATTCTCCTTCTATCCTCCCTAGTCATTGTCCAACTCTCTGATAGTTTTGGGAAAACACAATTTAATCCATAACATATCCTCCTGGCTAGGAGGGGGTTGAACTAGGGGTCCATACAAGAGTCATTTATACTGAGGACCAGGAACTGGAGAATCTAGAACTTCTGACTTGAATTCCTCAGGTTCTGAAGCCCTGAGCTACTTGTCCCCGGAGGCTGAGCTCACTGTGAGCAGAGCCCCACTGTGGGTGCTGTTGTGTCCCCAAGAATGAGGACTACATGGAGCCATCACCACTGGAGAGGGGTCAGCAAGAGGAAACCAGAGCTGAGGGAAGGGGGGTAACTGCTGTTCCTGAGAAAGCTGCCAGTCAGAGGATGCCAATCCCAGCCTGGTCCTTCAACAATGACCCTCTGAGCTGGCCTTCCCTTGGGAACTTAAGGGTGTGGTGAATCCATGGCCCTTGTCAGAGTCTTTGCAGTTCTCCACCAGCTTTGATAGATATCATCTCATTTTAACAGCTAGCCCTATGATAGTGATATCCTTTTCTCTATTACACACGTAAGGCAAAACTAGTCAAGAAAGGCCAAGGAGATAGCACTGCACCCACTGTTTATAAGGAGGATGAGACCTTCCCACATGCCAGCCTCTGCGAATGCAATAAGCAAAGCCCAGACTTGAGCACCCACAGTTTCAGAGGAGGGTGGTTTAACTGAACCCAGATCAGTGATATTTAACAACCAGCTCTCTGGAGGTAAATAAAAGCCCTGGTTGGTAATGTGTCTCATTTCCATGGTGCTACTGTCCCCACCAGGAGCTGCCGGTGGTATCACTGACTCCCTGTCCAGTGGAGCCCACCCAGAGCCCACGAGAAGAAGGTCCTAGGAATCCACTCCCAGAAATCAACCATTGGCGACCTCGTGCTCACAGCTCCACTCTGACACACGTGGGCTCACCATGAATGAGGCTCAACTCGGCAGCAACTGTTTTTGTTTGCTTTCATTATTTTGTTTTTATTTATTCTCACCATGGCTTATTCCATGGCCTAGTAGTAAGAAGCTACAGTGCTGCTTCCCAAAGGCACGCGAATCCAGAAGCTGCTCTGAGGGACAAGGAGGGTAATCTCCTCCCAAGCGATTTCTTGCTTCTGAAAACCCAGTGGAGGGTCAGCTATGGGTCAGCTGACTTGATGGCACACAACAACAACATGGCCGATTTCAGCTCTTGGGAGCCAGACTCCTTGCTGAGATAAATGCAGAAGGGATTTAAATGTGCCAGAGAGAAGAGGGAAGAACATAGGGTAGAATCATTTAACGAGTCATTTAAGTGCAATCATTTTGACTGTATGCAGCAGAGTGCACCCAGTGAGATTCCCTAGCATGTTGATAGGTGCTATGACTGAGGGTGATGCTGTGAACAGCAGATGGAAACTTTGCCCTGTCCTGTGCCCTCCTCCCAATCTCTGCCATACTCAAGACCACTGTTGCCATCACTTCATCAATCCGTCTCATCAAGGGTTTTGGGAGATACTGATCTCAGCCGACAGGAACAGCCTATGCAAAGGCCATGTTTAGACTATGCTAGAATGTCAAGGAACTGAAGAATCCTCTGTGCCTTGGGGATATGTGCTACAGGAAAGTGAATTCAAACCAGGATGATGGAGGAGTTGAATTTTGTTGTAAGGATCAAAGTTATAAGGATTTTTATGTTTGTTTGTTTGTTTATTCTGATTCCTTCCCCCTTGGATTCACCCATCCATCCTCTCTACCAAGGGAGTGGATTGAGGACAGCAGGGTCTCAACTTTAGCATGCATAGGAATCATTAAAGTATTTGCTAAAAAGAGAATTGATGCCTTTGAGCTGTGGTGCTGGAGAAGAGTGTTGAATATACCATGGACTGCTAGGAGAACAAACAGGTTTTTCCTGGAGAGGGTGAAGCCAGAATGCTCCTTGGAGTCTAGGATTCTGAAGCTTCGTTTGACATACTTTGGGCATGTTGCCAAGGAGGGACCAGTCCTTGTAGAGGGGCATCATGTTTGGGAGAGTGGAGGGGAAGCGCAGGAGAGGAAGACCCTCGATGAGATGGATCGATTCTGTGAGTGAGGTGGTGGGAGTGAGGGTGTCGGAGACGGCGAGGTTGGCACAGGATAGAGCAGGGTTAGGGTTCTGTACATAAGGTCACTATGAGTCACAAGCGACTCGACAGCACATAACAACAAGAACAAAATGCAAATTCTTGGCGCTGGACCAAGAGAGTCAGATTGGGCAGTGTTTATGGATTTGAATTTAAAACACACTTTCTTGGAGATAAAGCACTGACGAAGAGGACTGAAGTTCAAGTGTGATCACAGGAAGAGGGGTCCACACACTTCTCAGCTGCCTCTCATCTAGACTCTTCAACCACCCCCTGAAGTTCTCGAAACGCCCTGGGAGGTGCTGCTGGATTGAACATTGTTTGGTTCACATACTGATTATTATGAATCTCATTTCCCTCCCTCCACATACACACACACCTAACTTTACCTCTAGCCCAGACACAAGAAATCTTTCCAGTTCCAGTGGTCTGGCCCAGCTCAGCAGCTCACAACTTCACCCAGCCAAAGCCCCAACCACACGGAGCATTCACTTGTCTGTCCTTGTCCTCCTGACTATGGCAGGACCCTCCATCTGACAGCCAGACCCTGGAGTGCTTTCTGACACATGGCTGAGCCCAAACAACTGTGCCCACAGGTGCCAATACCCTTGATTGGACCAGAGAACATTGTGGATGGAGACCAGACACTCATCCTGGGACTCATCTGGGTCATCATACTCCGTTTCCAGATTTCTGACATCTACTTGGACAGGGTATGTCTCAGTCCCCAGCTCCCAGTCACCTGCCCCAGCCCAGCCCTGGCCTCACCACAGGCCCTGGGGGTCAAAGAAACTTCATCCAACCCCTGTGATCCCCATAGCAGATCCTTGGTGTCCACAAAATTATCATTAACTTATCAGCACAGATAAAGAATCCAGTATGTCAACAATATTGTAATTTGCTTAAGTGAGAGCTAGAATCATGAGTTGCAAGTCATTCGCTGCTGATGACTGTCAGTCCCTCACATTTCACCACCAAGTAAGAAGAGTATGAGAGGAGAGAGGACGTTCTGTGGGTAAGGGAGCACATAGAAGAATGTATCACTGAAGGGGGAAAACCAAACCCACTGCTGGGAGTTGGTTCAGATTCATGCAGCCCTGTGGACAGAGCAGAACTGCTTTACACAGGAGCAGACTGGTGGGTTCAAACTTAACCACTGTGCCGCCAGGGCTCCTTCAAAGAAGGAGAAGGGGTCACCAATTATCAATCCACTTGGTGGGCCTTGCTGTTATTGTCTACCTTCAGCAGGTTTTCAGTGACAGTTAATCACATGGGAGGAGATTAGCCAAGCTTCTCCCACAGAGCAGCTGGTGGATTTGAACCACATTCATTTGGGATTGCAGTGCAGTTTCTTACCACTAAGCCGCCAGAGCCTTGAAACCTTCTGCATACTCCTTTCCCCACAACTGGATCAGAAAAAGGATATAAAGTCCTTTCTATCAACAGTTTCTAAACCACTACCTAAACATTTATCCCAGTACAACAGAACACCACAACGGAGAAACAAAATCCGACTGAAAACAAACGTAAATGTGGTCAAATCTAGGAGGACCTTCAAAACTCAGAATGTGACTGTGAGCCCCTGGGAGCAGGGGCCTTGTTTGTCTGGGTCCCCAGAACTTTGCCCATAGTAGGTGCTCAATAAACATCTGGCAAAGGAATGTTGTTGTTGTTGTTATGTGCCGTCGAGTCGCCTGCGACTCATAGCGACCCTATGTACAACAGCCCTAAACTCCGCTCTGTCCTGTGCCAATCGCACTGTCTCTGACACTCCCATCCCAATTATGCCAGTCACTGAATCAATCCACCTCATAGAGGGCCTTCCTCTCCTGCGCCGTCCCTCCACCCTCCCAAGCAAAGGAATAGACAAATTAATTTTCACTGACTTAAAGCCCTTTCAGAAAGTCAAGCTCCCTAGACCCTTAAACCGGCTTCAGATGCCCCCGCAGCCCTTTCCTTTTGGAGCACACGTCATCTTCATCCCTGATCAGCCAGGCCACTGTCCTTCCTGCTGGTTCCACTTGTCCACAGCCACCTCAGGTCCCACCCCCTGCCTAACTCAGAGGTGCTCAGACCTGCTGAACTCTGCCCCTTTACAGGCTCATCCCCAGACCCTCCCCAGGTCACATCTGCCAGCCTCCCCATCGCAGGCTCAGGCCTTCCACCACATCCTGGTCCTTGACCAAGCCCTACCCAGGCCACCAGTGCATCTTACTAAGGCCAGTTACACCAGACTCCAGGACCTTGAAGCCCCTCTCTGCCTCTACATGCTGTGTCCGCTCATCCGTCTTGCTCAAGTTCCCATACCAAGGGGAAAATACAGCCTGGCCGGGTTTGACATTTTGAGTTTAAAATAGGCATTGAGTTGGGAAGAGTGGTACACAAAGTGATCAGTGGGGAAGGAGAAAGTGAGAGGAAGAGTGGGAGCAAAGAAAAGAGAAGTGGGGGCTCTAGGGGTAGGGGCAGAAGGGAGGAAGAGGGTGGAAAGAGGGTACCACTGACGGAGGGAAAGGGGACGAGGATGGAAGGTGGAGGAAAGAACTAGGAGAGGAAGAAGGGTGAGGTGGAAAGGAGAGGAGATGAGGGGAGGCAGATGGTAGTTGAGAGTGGCAGAAAAGAGAAACCATATACAAGAAAAGAAAACAGGCATGGGAGTGGGAAATGCTACAAACATCACAGAAAGCAGGTTGTCCCTTCTTTAGAAAGTTGGGAACAGAATTTGATCCAGTAATCCCACTATTAAGCATATGTTCAGAATAAGAGCTGCAACACAAAGTTACATACACATGTGCAGGATTATCGCAGCATCGCTTATCATGGTAAAGGGTTGGGAACAACTCAAGTGTCTGTCAGTGGGCAAACGACTAAAGAAACTAGTGTGCCTTTGCACAGTGGAATATTATACATCACTGAAAACAACGAGGAATTCACAAAGTACTGAAAACACGCATGAATCTAGAACAAATTATACTAAGTGGCATGCCTCAGTCACATCAGGACAGTTACAGTATAAACCACTATTACAAAAAGCTAAGGAAAGGTTTGCAGGCAGACTCTATTGTGGAGGGCTAACAGGCCTGGGAAGGGTGAGGGAGGGGGATAAAAGTAAACAGATAAGCTGGATGAAGGGAAAGGCATATACAGTAAGCGGCTGATTAGACATTGCAATTAACTCGTTACTCTGATCAGTGATGATGTTATGAAACAAAATGACTATGAATGACTAAATGAAAAATCAGTATGTTTTGTGAACTTTAATTCAAATGGGAAAAATAAAAGGCTGCACAAGGTTGGAGGAATGGAACCCAAATAGAGATGAGTCATTTCTCAGGCTGAGGAGTGTGGTGGGCAGGTGGGCTCTCAGACATTCCTGGGTCCAGTCCAGCCCCTCCCTATATGAGTGGAGGGCAGCTTCCTGATCTCTCCCATTGAAACTCATTCCTGGGCTGTGAGGAGGCTGAGAACGAAGGTACAGGGCACAGCGCCTGACTCACAGGACACCTGTGGTGACGACGAGCTGGTCTAGTGAACCCCAAGCTTGATTCCTGGGGACCTAGGATGGTTAGCATGATGCCTGATCCAAGAGCCCAGAAAATGCGAGTGATTGGTGCTGACTGCAAAGCCAGCTGTTCTGAAATGATGGCTTTGAGCTCTGCTTCTTTGAAAAGATGATCTTTCTCTCACCCTCAATCTCTGCCCCATTGTGGAGGAAATGGAAGAATCAGGTGTGGTTTTTTTAAAAAAACAGTCAGCTCATGCCTCCTGGTAGGCAAGCCCTACACCTGCCTTTCCCCAGCCTCCCAGCATGGTCACCTCACCTGTTCCACAGGAGGAGTTTGGGGCCAGCGCAGCCCTGCTGTCCGCCAAGGAAGCGCTACTGATCTGGTGCCAGCGGAAGACGGCCAGCTACACCAATGTGAGCATCACCGACTTCTCCCGCAGCTGGAGAGATGGGCTGGGCTTCAGCGCCCTCATCCACGCCCACAGGTCTGTGTGTGAGCAAGTATGTGCATGTACACGTGTGTGCATGAGGGAGGAACCAGCCCTCCCAGCCCTGACCTGGCCTGAGACAGGCCTCAGCCTTCTTCCTGGGGAACTCTGCCAACTGAACCAACTATTCTAGAAATAGGGTCCCTTGGGGTCTGTGTCCTAAATGTGCCTATTTCCTCATATCCCCTGTGACCTCTGGACCCTGAGGGTAGATGAGGCCACAGTGGAGCCTGGAAGGAGAGAGGGTAGGGATCTGAATCTCTGGTCATAACAAGCATCCCTCTTGCCATCCCGACCCCCACCAGGTATGCATGGACTGACCAAGTGTGCCTTTGACCTTGCCTTTCTCCACTTTCTTGTACCCCTCCATTCTGTTCACAGCACCCTCTTTCTCCCTGAAAAATGTCCAGCTCTTTTGAAGATGCTGCCCCTGCCTACAGGCTCTGGCCCTTAAGTCAAATTATACCCCCCTCTCTCTAGCTGAACCCTACTCATCTGCCAGGTTCTCAGACAACAGACAAGACAAAGTCTGATAGACTGATTCACTCTAAGATGTAAATGACCAGTAGAAGGGTGTTTGCACTTTTTAAAAGTCTACTGAAAGTAATGGTAAATTACTGTATTTGTCATATATAGAGATACAGCACACATAAGAAACTAATATGTAGGTGGTACCAAAGTTTGCAAAACCATGTAACACCCATTATTTGCCTAGAAATATTACTAGAAATCTCTGGTGGCCTTGTGGACAGGGAGTTGTGCAGCTAACCAAAATGTGGTTCCCCTCTGGTTGTTCAAATACACTAGTGGCTGCTTGGGAGAAAGATGGGGGAGGCTTCTCCCGTGCAAATAACAGCCTCTGAAAACATGCTGGAGGGTCAGCTCTGAATCATTTGCAACCTAGCGTCAGTCAGCGAGTGAACAACAGTCATGCTGGTGAAGAACCCGTCTTGTTTCCCACCCAGGCCAGACCTCATTGACTACAGCTCCCTGCACCCAGAGCGCCCGCTGCACAACCTCCAATTTGCCTTCCACGTGGCGGAGCAGGAGCTGGGCATCGCTCGGCTGCTGGACCCCGAGGACGTGTCTGCCGTGCACCCTGACGAATGCTCCATCATGACCTATGTCTCCCTCTACTACCACCACTTCTCCCGCCTGCACCAGGGACAGACTGTTCAGAAGAGACTCGCTAAGGTTAGTGGCCAAGGGAGGGTGACCCCGGGACCAACACGCATCTAACTCTGCTGTGCTCCCTTGGTAAAGCGGAGATGGTCTTGTTTGGATCATCGAAAGCTGTCCTGAGTGTTCTGGAGTCTCTGGGTGGTACAGTTCAGCTCTCAGTTGCTAAGCAAAAGGTCAGAAGTTCAAGCTTCTGTCAAGCCTGTCAAGCTCCTTCCAAAACAATCAGTCATTGAAAACCCGATGGAGCACAGTTCTACTCTGACACACACTGGGTCACCATGAGTCAGAAGCAGCTGGCTGGGCTTATGTGTGTGAGGTTTGCAGGAGGGTAAGTAAGGTCCTGGGCAAGACACTGGGCCCACTAGGACACAGGCACCTCCACCTCCCCGCCCCCTCCACTCCCAGGCTAGTAAGCTGCTAATGAGATTAAAAAGACTGCTGAAGACTCAGGACGAAGAGAGTACAAGGACAGGCATAGAAGCTGCTCCAGCAAGCTGGACATACACTGAGTCCATGTATTCAGGGGACTTTCTTACTCTCTGGATGCGATGGCAGACGCTGAGACCGGGGAGAGCTGTTCTGGGGGTTGGTGGCGAGCTGCTTTAGACGATGTGGTCCCAGGGGGAGGGAAAAAGGACTTAGAAAGAGAGTAGCAGCCTGTGAAGCCTCTGCCCCCAGGAGGGACCAGGGAGAAAGGCAGACACGGAAGGCAGACACGGTCTCTGCTGTCCAGAGAAAGGGAGCCCCTTGCATTTCCAGGTCCGAGCACGCAATGCAGGCTGACCCACTTCTCCAGGGTCTTGGGGTTGGGATCAACCTCCCAATTTAGTTCATCCTCAGCTGAGAGTATAGTGGCTTCAGTGTATCTCAGGAAACTATCGCTGACATTTTGCACCTGTCCCCTGCACCTCCTACCACCCCAGATCCTACTTCAGCTCCAAGAGACACAGGCTCTGCGGACCCAGTACGAACAGCTGGTGGCTGACCTGCTCGGCTGGATCGCAGAAAAACAGGAGCAGCTGGAGGCGCGGGATTTCCCAGACTCACTGCCTGCCATGAGCCAGTTACTGGCAGCCTTTGCCTCCTTCCGAACCCAGGAAAAGCCCCCCAGGCTTCAGCAGCGAGGGGCCACAGAGGTCCTGCTCTTCCGGCTGCAGACAGCACTCCGAGCCCAGAACCGCAGGCCCTTCCTGCCGTCTGAGGGCCTGGGCCCTGCAGAGCTGTCCCAGCGCTGGGCAGGGCTGGAGCGGGCAGAGGCTGCCCGGAGCCAAGCCCTGCAGCAGCGTCTACTGCAGCTGGAAAGGTTGGAAACCCTGGCCCGGCGCTTTCGGCGAAAGGTGGCCCTCCGGGAGAGCTTCCTGACGGACACGGAGCGCATGCTCAAGCAGGTGGGCGGCCCACTGGCCAGCCCAGCCATGGTGGAGGCAGCTTCCCAGAGGCTGGGCATGCTGGAGGCTGGCATCCTGCCCCAGGAGGGGCGCTTCCAGGCCCTTGCCGACATTGCAGACATCCTCCAGCAGGAGCAGTACCACGGCTGGGCAGATGTGGCCTGCAGGTGAGTCTTGGGCAAGTGAACTGCCCTCATAATAGGCATGGGCTTGCCCCAGTTCTTGCACATGCTCCTGGCCACAGATGAAACATGATTTAAGGCTTCAAGATTCCTTTAAAAACTATCTATTTCACACAGAAACCTGAAAGCCTATCATGCAGAAGTTATCCCTTCTTGACAAAATATTATCCTTTCCAGTAAACCTGTTAATTCATGAACAAATATTTATTGAATTTCTTACATCTTCCAAATGAATTGCAGTTTAGAATTCCATTGTCAACTAAAAGGTTGGCAGTTCAAATCCACTTAAAAGTGCATACAAAATATTGTATTGAAACAGATGAGGGAAAGAACAGATTAGAAGTGATATATGATTGAGTATTATGGTTAGCACAGGAATCCAGAATTAAGGTTGCATAGAGAAGTGTACTCGGGGTGGGGGGTGGGGGAAGGGACGTAGGAATTATATACTAATGAAGGAATTTTTTTTCCCCCTCTCTTCGGAGGGGGAAGCGAGCTGGTGGGGAAGGGTGGGCAGGGAGAAAATTGAGGCAATGAATGAATGGAAATCCAAAACCTCTATAAAAAAATAAAAAATAATTTAAAAAAGTGCATACAAAAAAAAATAAGTGCATACAAGAAAAAAGTGCAGGGATCTACATCCAGAAGCTCATCACCATGGTCAAGCCCTGCTCTAGATTCAGGGAACTGAGCCGTGAAGACACCAAAAGCCCTGCTCTTGCAGAGCTTACACATTACTAACAAAATAGACAAATAAGAAAATGGTATAGTATGTGAAATAATGATTTAAAAAGAAAAAGAAGAGAAAAAACCATGAGTTGTCATGATAAACAACAAGAGGGGATAAAAGTTTAGACTAGGAGACCAAAGGAAGGTTTGCTGTGAAGTTGACTTTGAAAAAGGCCAGAAAGATGTTTGGGGACTGGCCACGTGGGTATGAAAGGAAAGAGTATTCCAGGCAGAGGGAATGGCGAGCATAAGGTCCCAAGGCAGTGCACGTCGGGCATATTGGGGAAACTAGCATGGAGGCTGGTGGACGAGGTGAGTGATGGACGTGCTGGGAAAAGGGGTGGGGTGGGGATCATGCTGGACATGGCAAGGCAGTAAAGACAGGTTTTGCCAAGATGGGAAACCCTTGAAAGGCTTGAGCAGAAGAATGACATGACTTGTCTTTTAAATTAGCATGATCACTCTGGATGCTGTAGTGGGAGGATACTGAAGGGCAAAGGCAGAAGCAGGGAGACTAGTCAGTTATGAATCCACTGAAATAATCCAGGACACAGGTGACCTGAGTGGAAGCACTGGCAGTAGAGGGATTCTGACCATAGTTAGAGGGTACTGACAATTGAATTTTTAGGTAGATCAGATGTAGGGTGCAAAAAAGTGAGAAACAGGTTTTAGCTGGTGCAACTGGATCTGGTGAAGGGGCTGGGACTGGACCTTTCAGGACCTCCTTCTGGAGGCTCTGCCTGAGACCATAACCAGGACACACTACTCCAGCCACCCCTGTAATGGTGTTCAAGCCCTCGGCCAGAGTCCAAGCTATTCCACTTGTCGGGGACTTTAAGGTAGCTTCCCTACCTCAATCCCCCAGAGGTCACCCTTGTTTCATGTTCTCCAGGCACATAGAGGTCACCCAGCGTTGGGAGAGGCTCCTGCAGCATCTTCAAGGCCAGAAGAAGCAAATGGCAAGTGCCCGGACAGTGCACAGCCTGCTACAGGAGGTCGAGGTGGCCTCTGATCAGCTCAAGGAGCTGCAGGTGGGCCCTGGACTAGCTGACCTCTGGGGAATACAGCAGAGTGCAGGACCTTCCCCACACCAGAGCCCAAAAGGACCCAGGTCCCTGGGTCTGAAATGACCACCCATCTCTGACCAGGTGCCAGCCAGCTCCACCACCTGTGGGCAGCAGTTAGCAGAAGTGGTGGAGCTACTGCAGAGGCATGAGCTGTTGGAGATCCAGGTTTCTGCCCACGGAGCCCACGTGAGTCATCTTGTCCATCAGACCACTGAGCTGGACTCATGTGGGGGGACCAGTGTGGAGGTGCTACAGGCCAAGGCCAGGGGTATGGCCCAGCTCCACCAGAGCCTGCTGTCTCTAGTCAGATCTCGGTAAGAGCCCACTCCAGTTCCTTATGTTCTCCACAGCTTCTCTATATTGTATGGAATCATTGCCTGCCCCAGATTCTAATAGCGCTATGCTGGCAACTCCCTGAATTCTTCCTCTCACCTCCAACTAATCTGTCCACCTCTTCAGTCACCCACTCACTCACTGAGTTAGAACCAACTCATAGCTGACCCTCTAAGGGGTTTTCAGAGGCTGTAAACTAGGGAGGAGACTGCCTATCAGTATCTCCTGTGGAGCTACTGATGAATTTAAAACCAAGAGAGGTGCCCGCCACCTTTAGCAAAGTAACTCCCTACTGACTACAGCGCCTTCCACCTTCCTAAGAGGGCAGCTCTGTCCTCTAGCGAGAAGCCTCCTTCCCTTGACCTGCGACTTCTGAAGCTCCTCCGTGTCAGTGACACTCCCCCTTCCTCAGGCGCACTCTACTGGAGCAGGCCCTGCAGCGAGCCAAGTTCTTGTGCAACTGTGAGGAGGAGGAAGCCTGGCTGATGAAGCACAGACAGCTAGTGGAGAACGTGACACCGGGCAGGGATCTCAGCCAGATCTCAGCTGCCCTGCAAAAGCACAAGGTCCCTGTCACCTCTTGCCTTGCCTGTCCTCACCTTCCTCTGTTCCCCTCCTAGGACCCGGGTTCCCTCCCCGTCTACTTTCCCTTCCCTTCACTGAGGATGCTTCACTGCCGTCCAAACAGGCCCTGGAAGCCGAAGTCCACCGCCACCAGGCAGTGTGCACAGATCTAGCGCAGAGGGGGCGTGACCTCAGCGCCCTGGGAGACCAGATGGAGGTGGACCCCCGGGAGCGGGCCGAGGCCGTGCTGGGCGCATGGCAGCTGCTGGAGACTCAGGCTGCCAGGCTGAACGCGCGGCTCCAGGCAGCCCTGCTCGTGCGGCAGGTACTGCGGGCAGGTAGACCGGCTGGGCGCTCGTGGCAGGTGCCCAGCCCGGCACTAATCCTCCGCACACCCCTCCACCCTGCAGTATTTCGCAGACGCGGCTGATGCCGCCTCGTGGCTGCGCGAGCGACAGTCCCTGATGGAGGGCGCGCCTTGTGCGCGAGACCAGGCGAACGCGGAGGGCCTCTTGCGGCGCCACGTGCGGCTGGAGCGCGCCCTGCGCGCCTTCGAGGCCGAGCTGCGGGGGCTGGACCAGCAGGCGCGGAGGGCCGCTGCCCGGACCTCATTCACGGTGTGGACCGGGACCAAAACTCACTGGCTTCCGACCCTGAATACTGAGGCCAGGGCCTGGCTTCACAGAGGGTGGGAATGGGAGGGTCCCCGACTCAAGGTCAGAAGCGGAACATTTTCTATTTACCATCAAAGTTTCTGCGCCAGCTGCGAGAGGTTATGCAGCAATTTAAAACGAATTGTCATGGGTGCTCTTTTCCTCTGCTCAGGGGCCATGGCTTCAATTGGCTTTGAGTGCACCCTGCAATGACATGTCACCTGCTGACCTAACCCAGAGTTAACCAGAGCTCAGCATATTGAGGCCATCACAAGCTCAGAGTGGCTGGTCACTCAGGCCAGTAGCTTCAAGCATTGATTGATGAATGCAGTGCCTCTAGGAACCTTGCTCTCATTGTCAGGCTTAACATATTCTTAACACTTGCTTTCATCTGACAATGGTAAAGGTTTGACTCTCTATCCTGACTTGGCTTTGGTGGGGTTTGAAGAAACCAATCGCTAGCCAGCACAGTGGTTCAAATATTTGCCTGATAACGGAAACGTTAGCTGTAACTCACCAGCTGCTTCAAGGGAAAAAGATGTGGCAGTCGGCTTCTGTAAAGATTATCTATTGTCAATGAGTGGATTTCAGCAGCTAGCAAGACTCCATCAGGTTCCCCAAGCTGTAGGTCTTTACAGGAGGAGACTGCCCAGCGCTCTCACGTGGAACAGCTAGCGCATTCAAACTGCTGACCTTTTGATTAGCAGCACAACATGCAACACACTACGCCACGAGAGCTCCTTCTATAAAGACTACAGCCTTGGGAGTCTTACCGGACAGTTCTGCTCTCCCCTGTGGGATCACTGAGTCGGAACCTACCCAATGGCTGGGGTTAAATCACTAACTGAGATTAATTCTTGTCTTCCATGAGGGAGACCTGGCTAACAAACCTCATGCAAAGCCACCACTCATTTACTAGCGAAAGTGTTCATCTTGCTATAATGCCAGACAGGTTCAGCAGAGTTTGCTAAGAATAGGAAGAAAGGCCTAGTATGTATTTCTGAAAACTCAGTCAAGGAAAACCCTGTGGACCACAAGAGTCCAGTCTTAATGTGCCTGGGGTTGCCTGTTGTCAGTCACCATAAGCCAGGGGCTGGCTTGACAGCAGCCAGCAACCATCACTGGCCAAGGAGTGTTGTAAATGGTTAACATCCAGAGGTGCCTCACCAGAATAGCCTGGAAACCTACTTCTGAAAACTCAGCCATTGAAAACCTGTAGAAAACAACTCTTCTCTGATGCCCAGAGTCACCATGAGTCAAAAAAAGGACGCAACAGGAACTGGTGGTTTAACCACTAATCAAGCGCTCCCTCGGAAAGCCCAGTGGGCTCCAGATTTTTAAAACATTTATGTAGTCCTGACAGTGTGGGCCGGCCACACAGCCAACTCATAGCCAACTTTCAAGAAGACATGTAGCTTAAGATGAGTACGACATGGCCCTTAGAGGACCGAGAGAAAGACTCTCAGTAAGACAGAGGGACACAGGCCTGAAACAACGGGCTTGAGTGTGGTAGGGATATGAGGACAGTGCAGGCAAGCGTTTATTTAGCCCATTGTTCTCAGGGTTGCTATGCACAATAGTTGACTAGATGGTACCCAACAACAATCTCACTCCAGGGAACTACAATCTGGAGTCTGTTTGCCACACTAGCAGGTTTCTTCCTGCCCAGCGCTTCTCCACGTTCCCCCTTCTGTCCACCCAGCTGTGCCCCCACCAGCCCTTTGAGCTACAGCGTAGCACCTGGGGATGGGGTGGAGGGCCACCTGGCAGAGGAGTCAGTTGCTAACTGGAGACAGGAGCCCTGTCTTCTGGTCTCGGCCTTCCCTGACCCCTTACGTGGCAGCTCACGTTCCTTCTAGGTCTAGAAAATGTCTGGCTTTAAAACAATTTAGCCTAAATTGGTATCTTCCTTTTCCTTTGTATTTATTCCCTGGACTACATACTAATGAGTTTTGAAATTCAATCCAACTGTCTGGCCCAATTCCTTCACTTTACAGATAAAGGAAGCAAAACTTAAAAAAAGGATTAAAACTAAACTCGTAGATCAATTATAGCTCATTAAACCAAGGCTCAGAAAGACCAAATTACTACCCAAGCAGACACTTTCATCTCTACTGAAAAGGACTCCCGACTCTGGGCCCAGGGCTGTTTCTACCTCTTCCTACCCTGTGTATCTGTGGTGTTGAACCCCGAACACTGATATTATAGTAATACATCATGTTTTTGTTAAAAACCCACTGCCATCAGGTCAATTCCAACTCATCGCCACCCTGTGAGACAGAGCAAAACTGCTAACAGGGCTCCCAAGGCTGTAATCTTTACAGAAGCAGACTATTGTCATCTTTCTCCTGTGTCTTATCTCCTTTACTGTATTTTTCTCCTGTGGAGTGGCTGGTGGATTCAAACTGCCAACCATTTGGTTAGCAGTCCAATCCTTAATTCACTGCACCACCAGCACCAGTGCTCCATTGTTTCTGTTACAGATCTCTAATATTGCCTTCATGTGTGCTCGGCTGCTCCAATTTCAATTAGTTACTTAGAGGAGAGGCTGGAAGAGGCCTTATTCTTCTCTATGACCTATCCCACTGGGCAGGTGCTCTCCCTGAGGGGTGGTCAGGCTGGCTCCTGGAATTTCCAGGCTCTTGCATTCCCCAGTGATTCTGAGCAAGGGTAAAAGTTACCCCTTCTGCCAGGGGTGGGGTACTACTTTGGAAGCTGAGTAAAGACCACTTTCCTCTACTTCCTCCAATACAGGGAGAGTCCCTAGAAGGCTGGAGCAGACTTGATGGGAACACTGCTGAGAGACCCCACGATGGAAAACAAATCTTGGCAGCTCCAAGGAGCGAGTACTTAAGGTCCCAGGTCCAGACACGCTACACCTCCAGAGGTACAAGAGCCAGGGAATGGGAAGCCTTCCCCCTCTTTTTTCCATAGTGGGGACACTGTGGCTGGGCCTCCAGGATGTTCTGGTAAGCTGCTAAGGACTCAACAGGTTGCCGGGAGCAAGGGGTTCAACTTCTTTGTGGCTCTCTGGTGGCCTCGTGGGCAAAGAGTTATGCTGTCAACCCAAAGGCAGGCAGTTCAAATCCACCAGCTGCTCCCCAGAAGAAAAACGGGCAATCTCTTCTGTGTGATTTACAGCCTCTGAAAATCCAGAGGGTCAGGTATTAATCAGTGCAGACTCAATGACAATGAGCAAGTGATGGAGAGCATGAAAGGACTCAAGAAACAAAGGAAAGGCACAGAGGACGCCACTGGGGCTCAGGAGGAGGAAAACAAATCAGGGAGGAGTGAGTTTGATTCCAGACAAAGGGTAGCTGAGACAGGTCACGCAGGGCCATAGTCTCCTAGCTTCAATTCTCAGTCTTCCTTCCGCTTCCTCTTGTTTCTGCCCCCTTCCCAGTCCCCCTCTGTGACTGTCCTCTTTCTTCTCTGAAGAACCTGCATGGCAGGGTTAGATGTCTGATTACTAGCTGAAAAGTGGGCAGTTCAAAACCACCCTGGTGATGTACTTTTTTGTCCATTCGTTTTAATTGTGATTTCAACAAAAATTTTACAGAAAAGTTAGATTTTCATTCATTCATTGTTGCACATTTTACCCCCTCTCCCTCGCTTCCCTCTCCCCTCCCTTCCTTCCTCTCCCTCAGTTCACTTTGATGGTTTTAAATATTCTTTCATTGTTGCATGATTACCTCCTTCCTCCCCCTCCCCCGAGTCCTCTGCATTGTACCTCTTATCCTGGGCTTTTCTGAAAGGCCCCAGCCTGGAAAACCTGACAGCAGTCTAGTCTGCACACACAGGTCACCATAAGTCATAACTGACGCAGAGCAGCCAGAGATGAATTATTTCCTTCTTCTTCAGGGCCTTCTCCACAACCCCTGCTGGCTTACTCTTGCCCAGCAGAGGGTACAAAGGGAAGAAAAACATGTACTTTCCCGGTCCTTCTGTGCCAGTGTGCATCTTATCTTGTAACTGAAGCTTTTCCCACTGTCCTGGACTGTTCTGACCTTTCCCACAGGGGTGAATTCCACCTGGCTCCCAGTGCACCACATGGACCTCAACACCAGGGAGCTGCAAGACCAGGAGGCCCACCAGACCAAGGTGGCACTCAGTCCTGACGTGGAGCGGGAGCCTCAGGTACTGCCACTGGTCCCACCAAGTCACAGCTTCTGCTGTTCAGGCTGGTGGACACCTCACGGCCTCTCTGGACTTGCTGTCCTCTGTCTGTATAGGTGCTGTCTGCCCAGAGCCATCCAGGGGAAGGTCTGAGGAACCAGAGGGCTTGGAGCACATCTGACCCTGACTTTGATCCCAACACTGTACTTCAAACACAGGAGGGCTTGAGGCAGGACTATAAGGACCTGTGGGCCCTAGCAGAGGTAATGTCTCTTCTTCAAGAAATGGCTCCTGGGCGCCTGCTCTGTGCTAGATCCTGTGCCATGGGCTCAAGGGGGCAGAGTGGTGGCTGGATGTGCTCACAAGCCCTCAAGAGCTTCCATCATGATGGAGCAGCCATCACACAAGTCTTTAGGGGGCACAGGTCAGCCCAGGAGGCCAGGGAAGGACATTGAAGCTGAGATTTGGCAGAAAGGCGTGGAGGCAGGGAAGGTGAAGGGAAATAAGTGCAGGGCAGGTGGCTGAAGATGGCAGTGAAGGCCAGACTGCCTGGAGCACCTGGTCAGGGAGGCAGGGGCGGAGGAGAGTTAAGAGAAGTATAGATGTCCCCTCGGAGCAGTAGGAACGCTGAAGGGCTCTGAGTAGGACAGGATGGGATGAGAGTAGGTCTCTCTTTTACCACGACCTGGAGTTCTTGCCAGCTGAGGACCTCCTTTAGCCTTGGCCCAGGGCTCTGCTGGTGTGCTGGAGCAGAGAGCCCCCCTAGACCTGCTCTGGAGTACACTGGCCTTTACCAGGTCACTCGGTTCCTTTCCTCAGCACCGCCGGGCCAGCCTGGAGGAGACGGTGGCCCTGTTTGGCTTTGAAAGTTCCTGTGGAGAGTTCTTGTCCTGGCTGGAGGACCAGACAGCATTGTTCCAGATGCTGCAACCCCAGGCCGACAACTTAGTCATCATGGAGCTCAAATATAAGGTGCAGCCCCTCAGAAAGCAGGACAGTCTTAGACACCTGGTCCTACTCCCTCGCTCTTCCTTGCCTAGTTCTTGTCCAGCCCCTTCTCCTCCCTCTGTATTACTCACTCCTGCACCTCACTTCCCCATGATAGCTATGGTCCTGTCCAGGGACGGGGGGCAAGGAATTTGGCTTTAAGTTTTGGGGTTTCTTCTTCCAAGAGGCTGCAGCTCAAGCCTTTCTGTAGCAGAGAGCACGGTAACAGAGAGAGAGAGAGAGGTCAATTGTAGGTTTGAAGGAGGAACAAGAAAAGAGCAAGCCTCTCAGAAGCCAAGATCCTCCTTTCCCCAGAACTCCCTCATGACCCTGGCTGTGGGGAAAGGCCACTGGGATGAAGTCAGCAGCTCTGCTGAGCAACTGAAGCAGAGATACCCTGCGAACTCCACTCGGGTCCAGCGACAGCAGGAGGAACTGAGCCAGAGGTGAGAAAGGAGGTGATGCAGGTTGGTGGTGGCAGGTGGATGCCAGGTGGACAGGCTGGTGTGTCAGAGACACAGGGGAGAGGCCCTGGGGAGGGTCAGCTGGCATGTGGTTAAGGCCCCAGGTGGGAGGGAGATCCCAGTGTCATGGAGACATGCTCCACACCCTCTGCTCAGGTGGAGACAGCTGGAGGCCCTGACAAAGGAGAAGGAGATGGAGCTGGCATGCATCTCGGACATGCACAGTTCCCTGCAGGAGTGTGACACCATCCAGGTCCAGCTGCAGGATGTGATACTCCAGCTGGAAGCCCTGGAGCTGGGGAGCTCAGAGGGCAACCCCCGAGTCCTCCAGTTGGCCCAGCAGAGGATGCTAGTGCTGGAGAGGAACATCCACAACCTCCAAAGTGTGGCCGTGACGCACAGGTTCTGTGCAGTGGTGACAGGGAAGGCAGAGCGGAGGGCTGAGCAGGGCTGGAATGGAGAAGGGGACAGGCGTTGGGGTGGATGTGAAAGATGTGCTGTGGGAAGGGCTGAGGGAACAGTCTGTGAGGACAAAAGGAAGCTGGGAAGTGGAAATTCAGGGTGAACCCCACCTTCCACTGGGATAGAACACTGACTGCCTAGGGCCTGTCCCCCAGGGTGGAGGAGTCCGGCTCTCTGGACAGGCAGCACCTGCGAGAAAGGGTGGAAACGCTGCAGGGTCTGCTGAAGCAAGTGCAGGGTCAAGTGGTGCATCAGGCCCAGGCCCAGGCTGAGACTCGGGCCCAGCACAGTTTCCTGCAGGAGAGCCGGCGACTTCTGCTATGGGCCGAGAGCGTCCGGTCCCAGCTGCACCATGAGGAGGAGGTGATGGATGTGGCCTCAGCCCAATGGCTGCTGATGGAGCACCAAGAGCTGCTGGAGGAGATCCACCTGTGGCAGGAGAGGTAAGGGCAGGAGGCTGGACAGGGCGCTTGTCTGCTACCACAGGTCCAGAGAGTGGGTGACAGGAAGCAGTGAGGCCACACGAGCTGAACTGTTTTGGGAATTCTGTATACTTTCAAATGGGGGCTAAGGCCCAGTCTGAGCTGTCTATAAATTCTGTCATTACTGGGTCAGGCCAGATCTGATTCATTCAGTCAGGGCGGCCTGGCCTCCAGGGACACTCCAAGTGACCCAGACGCCACAGGGCCCTGAGACTCAGATATATACACCTTGTCAGCATGGCAATTCCTCTCGTCACACAGGGATGTCAGTGCCAGTCAGTCAGCAGGGTGCCACAAGCAGCCTGCAGGTTGTGTCCCGAATGAGGTAGTCTGACCGATGGACCAAGTGGCTCTGAAATCTGTCCTCTGCTCGCCAGACCCCACCCCCCAGGTCAGGGCTGCCTCAGTCCAGCGCAGGTGGTTCTTTCCTCTAGTTCATGCAAAACTATCACAAGCCTTTGAATTGTGCCCCATTTGCCTGAAAAGGGGAAGGCAGTGTTACCTTTTCTAAGTGTTTCAAGGCTCCCTATGGGCTTGGACTCCCTGACCCTGCAGGCAGTCCCGCGGTCTGACTGGTTTCTCACTAGTTAAGTTGTAATGGCCCAGTCATGGCCACTTGCTCGGACACTGGTCACCCACCAGCAATCCACATTTGCAGGACAGTCAACTGGAACAAGGGAGCCTGGGAACTCTTACACACCTAAGTCCTAAGCTCAGTGCTGGACCTGGGAGCTCAGTGCTTCCTGAATGGGCTGTCCCACAGGATGAATAAACCCACTGGGCTTGTCGACCTCAGACCCCTCCTGCCGGTATCTCCCAACCCCTGTTAGAGTGCCAGGGGGACAGAGAGGGGCATGGAGCATATGAGAAGAAGGTTGATAAGTAGAACTGGTGGGGTTTGACCTTCGACTGTTGTTCTGCACAGGCTGCATCAGCTGGATCCCCCAGGCCAACACATGGCAGCCTTGGGCTCCGCACGGTCCCAAGAAGTGGCCAGTGCGCTGGGGCTCCTGGGCGAGCAAAGTAGGGTGCTGGAGGCTACCTGGGAACAGCGACAGCGGCGATTGCAGGAGGGGCTGGAGCTGCAGAGATTTAACAAAGAAGCAGATCGTTTCACTGCCACTTGTGCCAACCATGAGACCTTCCTACAGCGGAGCCCCCTCGGGGTACGGAGCTAGAGTGCTGCTCCTCCAACAATGGAGGGGCCCATCTCTAGGCCAGGCAGGAGGCCCCTGGGCCAGCAGTGGGTGAGATGGTACCCACTCCCATCCTCCCAAGATAACCACAGGTTTCTGCACCACCAGGAAGATGTGAGGGAGGCTCAGAGCCTGCTACGGCGCCACCATGAGTTTGAGTGGCTCCTGGGCACCCTGGGCCGTCGCGCAGAAGCTCTGCGGGCACGTGGTGAGATGCTGCTTCAAAGCCAGCACTGTGCAGCACACGCGTGAGTCCAGGCCTTGGTCCTGCCAGCACCTGCCTCCTCTCACTGTCAGCTTGTACATATGTGACCTGAGGCTTCTGAGAGCTCCACTGAGCCTGAGTGTGGCAGGGAGAGGGGAGCAGAGGGTGTCTCTCATGCTGGGTCCTAACCTTAAGGTGGACATCAAGCAGAGTGGAGGCCTCACTCTCACCCCCATCTCCACCTCCTCCACCCTGCAGGATCAGAGAGCAGCTTCAGAGTGTCCGGGTTCAGTGGATCAGGGTCCAGGAAAGGAGTGGACAGAGGAGGAGGCAGTTGGTGGCTTCCCTCCACCTCCAGGTACTTCAGACACTGCTGCAGCGCTAACAGCAGTGGAACTGTATGGGGCATTTTTCATGCTTTGTGTCATCAACAGAATGCCTTTTGAAGTAGGCATTGTTGTTATTGTTGCTGTATGCTGTCAAGTTCAAACTGACCCATAGCTGACCTTGCAGCAGGTTTTCAGAGGCAGAAGGAGGAGATTTGCCCATCCTTTGCCCACAGAGCAGCTGATGGGTTTGAATCACATGCCTTCATTTCTTAATTATGTGCTGAAGAAAACTGAGACAATGGGCTCTACTCTCAGAGGCAGTGTGGGGCAAAAGTGCAGGTCTAACCCCCACACTATCCCTCAGAAAGTTATTCCCTTACTCCATCCTCTCTGGGCATATTTTAGACTCTTGCATGGGTCAGGGATACCAGCTGCAGACCCTTGGCTCTGTCAGGTCTCTTCAGCACTGACAGGTACACAGAGCTGGGCCAGCCACTGTAGAGCCTGTGGTGATAGCAATATGGTCCCTACTGGACTCAATGTGGCCAGGATAGTGGGGACTCAGCCAGGGGTCCCTCAGCTCTGCACACGGCACTGTGAGGCCTCTGTCTGATTTCTGGGCCTCCTCTTAATGTTTTCTTGGAGACCTCTGCCCTCCTGATCTCTTGGATTTCTCTTAGCCATCTGGGGAACAGTAACCATAGCCCTCCCTCTTTTGGACCCCAATATTTGCTCGAGGCCTTGTTCTCTGCCATGTGGCGAGGATCGAGGGGGCATAGAATGCTGCTGGTTAAAGCTTTGGGGCCAGCCTCACTCCCAGGCTGTGCAGCCCGCTCCCGTTCGTGGACAGGAATGGAAGCAGGCGGTGGCAGAGCTCATGCTGTGGATGGAGGAGAAGGAGCTGATGGCAATAGAGGAACCCACTCAAGAGCCCAGGAACGTCCTGCGGAGGCTCAGACAGCACAAAGCTGCAGAGAGTGAGCTGCTGGCCGTGAACAGGCGTGTGGAGGACCTGCAGCAGGTAGGGGCTCTGGACAGAGCATGCTGGGTCTGCTCATCTTTGTATTTCTAATCAAACTGCATATACATCCTCGGGATCCACTCAGGAAGAATTACCCTCAGTGACTGTGAAGTTAGGGTCCCTCAGGTCCCTCTGTCACACAGCTGCCCATGTCCCTGCCTTGGGACCCAAGCCAGGCCTGAAAGGTGCTGTCATCCTTCCCCTCAGCTCTCCAGGGCAAGTTCCAGACCCTGTAACCCCCACAGAGCAGAGATCTTCCCAACCATCAAGCAGCTTATGCTGCTTTAACTTGCAGAATCTGAGCAAAGCCCTTGGACTCTGACCACAGATCCAGGGCCGTGTTGAACAGCTTGAGTCCAGGAAGCCTGTGGAACACAGCCTGTAGCCAGCTGCCTCCACCTCTGCCATGTGAGCCCAGCCTGCGGTGAGCAACCGCAGCAGCACCAGCAGCTCTGCAAGCCTCCCTGGGCCTTTGTCTCTACTGCAGGTTGGGAGAGAGCTGTTGAGCAGTGGGCTCCTCACCCCGGAGGACGTGCAGGCCAGGCTTCAGGGTCTGAGTAGCAAGTGGGAGGAAGTAAACCGCAAGACGGCAGAGCATGTGGACAAGCTCCACTGGGCCAGACAGCAGGAGCAGCTGCTGGGGGTGCTACAGGTCAGGTCAGCTGAGGGATGCAGGCAGAGGGAGGAGGGAAGCAGAGGCTGGGCTGGGGCAGCGTGAGACAGGCAAGAAGAGGAATTTGGGTGGTCTGCTTACTCTGGAGTGCGTGGGAATGCCCTCAGCCCTTAGGGGTCTCTGGCCTGCAGCAAGTTAAGCGTGGCTTCACCACAGTTGCATGACTGTCCCTTATGTGCCCTACATGTGGTCAACACTTTGGATGAGGGGACAGAGACCTTCAGGAGTCTCTGGGAGAAGGTTTGGGAGCCCCTGGTCACATGTTGGCAATGATGGGACAGAGGTCTTCAACTGGTACATCTGATGTGCTTATGGTGCCAAAGTCTCAGATGTTGTGGCTTCTGGCCAGGTGGACAGGCAGAGTCCAAACACCCACTGGGCTCGAGCATATCACAGATCATCAGGATGGTGCAGGGTTGGACAAGACTCAGATCTGTTGTCACGAGTTGCTGTGAGTCGTAGTCGACTTGACAGCACCTAACAACTGTCTTCTCATGCGGCCTCCGGTACTCCTTCCCAGGAGATCAAGGAGAAGATGGAGTGGCTTGAAGGGACTTTGCAGATTTCAGGACTGGGGCACGACCTGTGCTCAAGCCAGAAGCTGCAGAAGCAGCACCACCAGCTGCAGGATGAGAGCCAGGTTCTGGCTGGCAAGATGGCTGCCCTCGTCTCCCAGGCCCACTGTGTGCCCGGTTCCCAGAGCTTCATAGAGGAGACCCAGGAGTACGTCCAGAGGTGGGGCCCTGACATTCTGCCAGCCTGCTTTCTCCATCTTCACCCAGCCGCATGTCCCTTGCCCCTGTCATTCCTGGGGTCAAAAGGGCAGAGACCCCATTCTGAAGTCAGGCGGGACATCTGGATGGGAGGTGGGGCCCTGGGTTGTCAGGCTACCCCCTTCTCATCAGATGAGGCTTTTCCTCAGTTCTCTCACCTCTTGAGCCCCAGGTGGGGGAGAATATGGTCTTCACTCAGTTCTCAAGCTCTCCCACCTTGTCTCCTTCCACCCAGGCTCAGGTCCCTGCAGGAGCGCCTCACCGCTCAGCACCTGCAGCTGCAGGCCTCGGTTGAGCTGCACCAGTTCCTGCACCTGAGTAGCCTGGAGCTCACCTGGGTGGCTGAGCACATGCCCAGTGCCAGCTCCACCAGCGACACCAAGTGCCTGGATGGTGCCCAAAGCCTTGGCTACAAGCACAAGGTAGGAGTGCCCTCGTTCACTCTCTCTCCACCTCCTCTCAGGGTGCTCTGGGCTCTAAGCCTCTGCATCTGATTGTTCTGATTTCCAAGCCTCTGCTCTGAGGGGTTTTGCCATGACTGGAGCCTGCAGACACATCTACGGCTCCGGCCCAGGCACCGGTAATCAAGGGTACCCCTGAGGCCGCAAGGGTACCCCTGAGGTGGCAACCTCTCATTCTGCTGGCAGGTGCTCCAGGCTCTGGTGAAAGCCCACCAGGGGCAGATGCAGCGGGTGCTGGACTCTGGAAAGAGCCTCACAGCCTCAGGGCACCCCCAAGCCCAGCACATCAGAGAGCAATGTCAGGAGCTGGAAAGGCGCTGGGCAGAGCTGGAGCAGGCGTGTGCCACACGGGCCCAGTGCCTGGAGCAGGCTGTTGCCTCTCAGAAGGTAGGATGGAGAGAGCCAGGGGCCAGGGCAAACATCAGGGCAGGCTCTGTGGGTGAAGGGGCAAGGGGACCTGGAGCTCTCAGGAGGTAGTTCAGTACATAAACTCAGTCAGGAGCCAGCTGGCCTCTCCAAGGGGTAGTAGCCCCTTTGTGTTGATTGCTTGGGAACAGCAGCATGATAGCCCCAAGCTGTGATGAGGGTCCTGTCTGAGATGACCCAGGTGACGTGGAAACCTTCTTGGCAGTATTATCTGGATGTGTCAGAGCTGGAGGGCTGGATGGAGAAGAAGTGGCCCCTGGTGAGCAGTCAGTACTACGGTGGAGACGAAGCTGCCACCTTCAGTCTCATCAGGATGCACCAGGTACCACACCCTGAGCCATCTGCCCCATCTGACCTGAGTGACAAAGGCCCGCTCACGTTCCCAAGGGGGCCCAGAGCTGTGCTCTTTTTACCTAAAAACCCAGTGAGATCCATCACCATCACCCACCCAAATCATGCAGCTTCTTCTCCTCACTCCCCGCACTCACCTTCTTCAGAGCCAACCCCAGGCACTGTGATTTAAGACAACATTCTCCCCACTTTAGCCTCTTTACTGTCCTTGCCTCTTCCTGTGGCATCTGAACTTCTCTGTTACCTCTAATCCTTCCTCCATCTCTCTTCTGCCCTCTTGGGATCATCTTCTCTGTTCCTCTCACTGTCTTAGACAGATTCTTCCATCACCTTTTGAGTTAACCAATGACCCTTCTGGAAGCCTACCTTTTTCCATAGCATCTTCTGATTAGAGGAAGAGAGTCCTAAAGTCCTCCTGCCTCATTCCTGGAATCGAAACTACAAGGAGGCAAAGCTTGGACCACACAGCAGACCAGTTTCTTGATTTCGCCAAAGTGTTCTCGTGTCTGGACGTTTGTCCAACATGGCCTCAGTGGTCAGTGGTTCCTGGGGGTGAAGACCTTCAGTGAGTCATATGGCCTCATCTCCTGGATCTTCATTGTCCAGTTATTACAGGGCAGCTTAATTAACACTACCCATCTGTTATGCTTTGATTTTGGAGTACAATAGAATGCCTCTTGTTCCTCTCCTTTATTGGCTCAAATTACCCACCGCTCACCCTTCCCTGATAAATAATTTCTCTGTGGGAACAGACCACATCTTTACTTTTAAAGGAGTAATTGCTTCATCAATATTGAGTATTGAATGAATAGATAAATTAGTGGGTGGGTGGATAAGTCAGTGAATTGATGGGTGGATCGATGTGTAGATGGATGAGTGACTATACGGCTAAGTGCATGAGAAGGTGAGAGAATGAATAGGTGAGTGTGTGTGGAGCAGATGAATGGGTGAGAGGTGACTGTAGGTGGGTGGACTGATGAATGATGATGAAGGGCAGTCACCCAGTCTGAGCCTGGGTCATTGTTATATACGCTGGCAGGCCCTACAGCAGGAACTGGCTCTTTATTGGAGCTTCATGGAGGAGCTTGATCAGAGGGCCCAAACCCTGAGTGGCCTTAAGGCCCCTGAGAAGCCAGGCATGATGCAGGCGAGGCTCCGGAAGCAGCTGCAGGCATTGCAGAAGCTGGCAACCACTCGGTGAGGGTCATTGCAACATGTCGTCACCAGGTACCAGGTGTTACCCCTGGCCTGAAAAGAAACCAATGACCCAGGCCCACAGAGATGTGTCAGAAGAGGGATGAGTCCTTGTGCATTATGTATCTCTCTCCATGTACTTCTCAATGAAGGCCTACTGGGCAGGAGCCCAGATCTCCCTACTCCAGTCATCTGTCCCTTCCCCACATCGAAAGCCCTCACCAGCCACCCATACTCACCTCCCTGTGTCTCCCCGAACCAGAGCTGCAAGCTTGCGCAAAAACCCATGAAGAGTCTCATCCTTCAGGTAACCCCCTCTTTGGTTGGGTCCCTGTGGGCAAGCTAACTTCTAGGGAACCACGGGTGTTACTGCAGGGACCAGGAGCTGGAAAGGACCATGAGGCGGCACGAGTTTATGAGGGAAGCCGAGGAATTACAGAACTGGCTGGCTGGTCAGCAGCACGTGGCCAGGACAGAAGAAAGCCCTGGAGAGGACTACGAACACGTCCGAGTGAGGAAAGGGCTAAAAGACAGTCCTGAGACAGAAAGTTGTGGGGTGGGGGGCTGGCCCAGGCTGGGCTGTATGGAGCAAAGGGAGGTGGGAGTCCTCAGTCCTGGCTGAAGAAACACTGGCCCCTGTGCTCCCCTCTCGTCTGTGGAAGGTCTTCCCGAGTCTCTCACTCACTGAGGTTTCTAGCTTCCCCAACTGCTGCCTGCCTCACTAGCCGGGATCCACCTGTCATCCACTCCTCTCTTCTCCTCAGCACCTCCAGATCAATTTTGCAAAGTTTCAGCACCAGTTGGAGATGGGTAGACAACAGGTGGCAACCTGCTTGCAGCTGGCAGACAGCCTGCTGGAGGCTGGTCCCAGTATTGTCCCCAGGATTCATCAGAGGAGGCAGGACCTACAGTGAGTACCCAGAAGTCCAGGTCAGGGGCATGGATTTAAGGCACAGTGCCAGGCAGGGAGGTTCTGAGGCATTAAGAGAAGGTGGCCAGGCTCTGAGAGTCACACTGGCTCTGCCTGTCCACGAGGTAACCAGTGGACTGGCTCTCAGAGGACTGAGCCAGCCCCACATGGCTGTGGCCTGGGACAGAAGGTGAAGCTGGGTGTACAGGTCAGAGAGTTCAACCCACAGCCAACACCTCGGGGTCACTTCCCTAGGCGCCCTGGCTTCCTGACCTCAGGTGAACAGCTCTAGGAAGAGTCTGCCTGGCTAGGACCAAGGCCCCTACTACGAGCTCCTAAGGCTTCCAGGCTTACCTGTGTCATAGACCTTACCTTGCTAGCTGCCCACAAGCTGTATGCTTCCACCCCAGGCAGCAAGATCACAATTTACTCATAACCTCTGGCACAGAGTCTGGTCCAGTGTGTAAGTCTTAGGAGCTCAGTGAAAGGTTGCTAAGTGAATGATTAATGGTGAGTGAGATGCAGACTCTACCTTTGACGTGTACACCATTTAACTGGAGTCTACTTGGAGTACTGGGCATCAAACACACAGATGTAAGGAGTGTCACAAAGTATAAATAGCAGTGACTTGCTGAGCTTTATTGCAGGAGGGAAATGGCAAATTCCTCCCAAACACAGAAAGACTGGCAGCCTCATAGAAGGCTAGTTTGCAGGTTGGCTCAAAGATGGGGGAAAGTTAGGGCAAAGAGTAGGCGTATTCAGGACCTTTAACCAAGTCTTAGACACATCCAGGAAGGAGATGGGCTGACAGACCAAATCTGGCCTCTTGCTGGTTTAGGGCTGCCTGGTTGGAGCTGAGGGAGCTGACCCAGGCTCGGGGCCGTTTGCTCCAAGATGCTGAGATCACCCTCAAAGTTCATGTTGATCTGTCAGACATGCTCATCTGGATCCAGGTGAGAGGGGAGGGGAGGGAGAGCATCCTTGCAGGGCAGCCGCCCATGCTCAGAAGTCCAGCCTCATCTCCTTGTCTCTTGGGCATTTTCCCTCCTCAGGAGAAAGCTATGAGCTTCTCAGACGATGTATCTGGCAACCTGCATGGGGTGGAGGCCCAGCTGAGGGGACTTGAGTGCCTGGAGCATGAACTCACGAGCACCAAGCTGCAGGTGAGCCCAGCTCTGCCAGCCTTTCCCACTTGGGCCCTACAGGCCTCTCAGACCTACCGCATCTGCTCCTCTAGATCCCCCACACTTTCTGGGGTCTCTAGTTGGACCTATTGTGCATAGCAGGACCTGGGTTTCCCTACTGAGCTCGGGTACTCAGACAAGGGCTTTGTCTGTGGCATGGTCAGCCCCTGGCCTCAGGGAGGACACTGTGCTTTGCTCTCTTCTGACCCTCAGGTGCAGGAGCTACTGAAGACAGCAGATAGAGTGCAGACATTGTATCCTGGGATTCAGGCCAACGCTGTGCAGCCAAGACAGCGAGCTGTGGTACAGGCTTGGGAGGCCCTGCAGCTGCAGGTAGAGCAGCGCCGGGCCCAGCTACAGCAGGCGTGTCTCCTGGCCCGTTTCCACATAGCGGTGAGGCCCTTCCCCCCAGCACGTGTGTGTATGTGTGCATGCGAGCATGTGCATGTCTGGACGTCCATGTGGTTGGTCAGAGGGCCTGGCACATGGGACATAGTAGTGCCAGCCCATTGGTGACAGGACAGTCATCCTGGGGCCAGTGGGGACTATGGAGTAAGAATTGGCAGGTCTGTCACTGGAGACCTAGATTCCCCCTCCAGATATTTCAGTCAATGGCCTCTGGACCTGCCAGCATCTGTTTAACATTCATGTTAGGCTCTGCTAGGAGCTGTGATGGAAAGAGGAGGGTGACAAAGAAGTAATAAAAGGATAGCTGCCCTCACAGAGCTTACCTAGCTGAGAGGAGAGCTTAATACCCAAGAGAGTCGGATTCAGGTTCTCTGGGTCCTGGCCCTGGGCTGCCTCTGGAGTCTCATGGCCTGGTAATTGGTAGACCAGGACACACAAACAATAACAATGCAAAGTCCCCAACTCTTCTACTTTTCTAGCAGTGTGCACTTAAGCAAAGCACTTAGCCCTCAGTTGTTCCTCTTTATTGGTTGAGCACTTAGAATTTTTAAAACTCACACACAAAATGTTGTTCAACCTTCGTCTTCACAATGGACACAGGTCAAAGACTCTCCACTTCTAAGAGTGTGTGAGTGATTCAACGTGAATCAACCAGTCATGCCTAAGTGTCAGTTTGATACTCAGTGGGCAGGAAAAACAGTGGGACATTAAGTTGCCACGGAAGGCTTTAGGAAGCAGAGATGGTCTTGGCCTTTGAGAAATGGGTAAGTTTGGAGAGGTGAGAAGGAAGGAGAAGTTCTGGGCAGGAGGGGCAGCGAGAGCGAAGGGCGGAGATGAGGCTTGATGAGAATGTTCTCAGGGAAAAGGGGATGGGATTGCACATGGTGGTTTAGTGAACCTGAAGATATGCTCCTTGGGAATGGACATAACAGAAGGTTATAAGGTCATATAAGGGGTACCCAAGGCTCTGACATGAGAAAGCTTAGAGCAGCCCCATGAGAGTGGGCTTATGCTGCCTGTGGTTGTACCTCCGTCTCTGGTTCCCTGCCACCCGCACAGCCCTGACCTTGCTCTCTCTTGGTCTCCTTGGGGTCAGGTTCAGGAATATGCCTCCTGGGCAGCCAGCATGCAGCAGGAAATACGGGGAGAAGTGACACCCCAGGACTCCAGGTGTAATCCCCTAAAGCTCAGTACCCACCAACAGCTTCGGGCCAAGCTGGAGGTCCAGGAGGAGCTGTACCAGCGGGCCACTCAGCTGGGCCAGCAGATGCTTCTAACTGCAAGCCCATCCACCAAGGAGGTGGGCCCCCTGTCTGGTGCTCCCCAGCCTACCGTGACTGAGCCTGTGCCTGATCGCTTCCCACCCCACCCCGCAGTGCCAGGCCAGCCTCTTCCCACAGGCTGTCCTCAGGACCACATTCCTGGCTTGTTCTCGCTGCTCACCCCAGCCCACTCTCTGTGCTCACCCCCAGGTGCAGGAGAGGCTGCAAGCCTTGCAGGACACACGGGAGCAGCTGTTCCAGGCCTGGGAGCAGAAGCGAGAGACGCTGCAGGCCATGCACCGAGAGCAGTGCTTCTTCAGAGAGTGTGGCCACCTGGACAGGACCCTCCAGGCCCAAGAGGCAGGTTCCCTCACACACACACACACACACACACACACACACACACACCCCAGGGTTTCCTGTCTTTCCTCTCTCCCCTCCCTTGTCCTTTGCTTTGCTTCCTGAGTCTCTGGATTTCTTTTTTTTAAAAACATGGAGCATCAAGAGTTAGACTTCCCAGATGGCCACAGGGGCACCTGAACCTCCCAGCATCCATAGCCCGTCAGGATCTCCTCCTCCCCTCCTCCCCCGCTGAGCCCTGCAGGATCTGTGGAAGGTTAGGTTGTCAGATGTCGAGGTGTTTCAATCCTTCAGTCCACAGTGCTGTTCTTCCTCTCAGCTCCTCCTCCCCCCACCCCATGCTAGTTCCCACCTCAACCCCCACTGCATGCCCAGAGCCCACCTTAGCCTTCACCCCAGAACCTTACCTCTCTCAGAGAGCCCAGGACCCTGCTTCAGCACAGGCTGCAGATGGAGAGCTTGGCCATTTGCATGTCCTTGGTGGCCATTTGCTGCGTCCTACAGAGTCAGGCTTCTGACTCTCTTTGACTCTTCTGGGGCCTATCCAGGTGTCCCTGAAAGCCAGTTCCCTGGGGAGCTCAGTAGAAGAGGTGGAGCAATTGATACGAAAGCATGAGGTCTTTCAGAAGATTCTGACTGCCCAGGATAAGAAGGTAATGGGCTTGGAGAGTTCAGGGCATAGTCTAGAGGGGTTGAAGCAAGTTCAGACACTTTGGGGGAATGTAGACTCTATAGGGGACTTGGAGTGCGGTGCACACACAGAAGCATTGCTTATTGGGAGCAGCACTGTGGATTTTGGGGGGCTTTACTGGGATCAGTGACTAGGCAGCACCCGGGTGGGGTGGGCCACACTGGGGAGACTGCAGAGGGCTCTGGGGCTGCTAGCTCACATGGCTGTGGGGAGCTGCGTGGTTCTGACTGGCACTGGTAGCTTCAGCCTGAGTATTGCAGAGTGGAGGGAGAAGCTTCAAGACCCCCACAGAAAGGGTTCTGGGTGCAGTGGGCCAGCCCCCCAACAGCACAGACCCATACTCTGTGTCCCAACCCCGCAGACAGAGGCTGTGTGCGAGCAGGCGAAGGTGCTCCGGGGCCCGAGGGTGCAGGCCTTACTGAGCACAGTGCTGGAGCGACGGGCTCGGGTGAAGGACCTGGCAGAGGGCCGGCGACATGCCCTGCACACCGCCCTGCTGACGGCTGACTTCACCAGGGCTGTGACCCAGGTCAAAGGGCATTCACCCCGGGGTCTCCCTAGGGTCTCCCTATTAAGCCACATTTTACCTTTCCCATGCCCTTCACCCCCACGAGGGGCTCACCACAACGTGTGATAAGAAAGCCCGTCCTTGAAGAGGTCAATGGCTTTTCAGAGGCTGAGGTGGGCCTGGTTTTCAGACCCCAGGTGTGAAGACTTTTCCTTTTCCAGCCTAGGAAAAGTCATCAAAGAGCTGCAGGAATGGAACTGAGTAGTCAGGACCACCAGGACTAGGGCACCCTCCACATGACCTCATCCAGGCCAATGTCAGCCACTTCCTGGGTTGAAGACCACTGAGGTCTGGGCAGTGTCTTCCTAGACTAAAACCAATGATTCTCATGTGTCTGGAGTCACCCCACCCCCACCCCTGAGGGCAGTATTTGGCTACTTGGTCATGGCTGGGAGGCAGGCCTAGGGTTTCTGTGGACTGAGTCACTACTGAGCCTCACAGTATCCATGTCCCACCACCCCACAGGCCGAGGGCTGGATCCAGGAGCGGGTCCAGCAGCTGAAAGAGCCTGTCCTTCCAGGGAGTCTGACAGCTAAGCGGATACACCTGCAGAAACACTGGGCCTTGGAGGCTGAGGTCAAGGCCCTTGAGGAGGTCATAACCTCGGTTGCCAAGGTAACAGCCAGGCCGTCCCCCTGCTTCTGAATTCCAGGTGATCAGGGGGAAGGTAACAGGAAGAGGGAGCCTGTGATGGCAGAAGAGCAAGAAGAATGACAGGCGTGATCTGCCCCTGTCCCCTCTCTGTAGAAGGGCGAGGCTCTCCTGGCACAGAGCAGCCCTCGCCCAGGAGAGATCTCACAGAGGCTGCAGGCACTGCAGGAGCACTGGGACAAGCTGAGGCAGGCAGTGGTGCTCCGGGGCCAGGACCTGAAGGACAAGCAGCACTTCCAGGAGTTTCTGCAGAGAGTCGACCGTGCAGAGGCCTGGATCCAAGAGAAGGTGGAGGCCTGCTGGCCAGGGACAAGGCAGGGTGGCTGGGCTGAGAAGAACATCAGAAGGAGACCCCCGGGCCTATATCTCTTCTTCAGGAAGTCCCCCCAAAACTCCACAGAGCCCCGGCCCCTGGGTGCCAAGGGGCTGGTGTCTCCAAGTGCCTTGGTCTCTATAGGAGGAGATGCTGAGCTGCAGAGACCTGGGCCGGGGCCTGGAGCACTGCTTACAGCTCCACAGGCAGCTCCGAGGAGCCTTGGCCAAGGTAAGGGGGCCCTGCCCAGGGAGAGGTCGGCCGTGGAGTCCCCAGTTCGGAAATACACTCAAGCAGTGAGGGAGCAAGGAGCCCTAGTGGCACAGTGGTTAAGCACTTGATTGGTCATTGAAATCTACCAGTTGATTGGCAAGAGAACAATGTGATGGTCAGCTTCTGGAAGATTTGCAGACTCAGAAGCCCTGTGGGGCAGTTCCACTACCTACAGGGTCAGAGACCAGGGAAGCGGGGGATGAGAGAGCGTGGTTCTGAACCTACACTGGGTTCACCTGTCGGTGCCACACGCCACCTGCACACGCTGAGGCAAGCCTTTGTTCATCTTTGTAGTGCCTGCCTCCTGGGCAAGGTGATGCTGATGTGTGGAGGTCACACAATCTATCCATGTGATAAAGCTGTACAGAGCCATGTCCCTAAACACGTATACAGAGAGAGAGAGGAACACATAGTGAAAAGGGATTGACTCTGAATAAAGTCTATAATCTAGTTGGTACTACCTCCCTAATGTCAATTTTCCAGGGTTTTTTAAAAATACTTAATATTTAAAATATTAAGTGCTTCACAAATTTGCATGTCATCCTTGTGCAGGGACTATGCAAATCTTCTCTGTATTGTTTCAATTTGAGTATATGTGCTGCTCAAGAGAGTACAATTTTCTGTTTGAATAATACATTGTTGTTATGTCCTGCTGAGTTAGATCCAACTCATAGCTGACCCTCCAGTGGGTGTTTGGAGGTAGCAAGTCATGTAAGAGGAGACTGCCCATCTTTCTCCCACAGAGCAGCTGGTGGGTTTGAAAGTGTGCATTTAGGTTGGCAGCCTACCTCCCCACCCCTAAGCCACCAGCGCTCCCTTAAATATTATACTGCATTCATACACACGATGTCATGCTATGGTCATATACCGTGCCTTTAAGGGCTAAAGTGCACCTGACCCAAACAACAGTGTGTTCAGTCTCTTAATCTGCCTGTGAAAGCTGGATGGTGAATAAAGAAGCCTGAAGGAGAAGTGATGCCTTTGAAATGAGGTGCTGGTGCAGAATATTGACTGTACCTTGGACTGCCAAAACCCAAAGCAATCAATCTTGAAAGTGCAGCCAGAGTGTTCCTTAGAAGCGTGAGTGGTGAGGCATTGTCTCACATGCTTTGAGCATATGATCAGGAGGGGTCAGTCCTTGGAAAATTATATCATTCTTGGAAAGGTCAGGAGAAAAGAGGAAGACTGTCCAGGAGGTGGCTTACCACAGTGGCTGCAGCACAGAGTTTATGCACAGCAGCGATTGTGAGGATGCCAGAGAACCAGGCAGCGTTTCCCTCTGTCGGGTGCATGACACAGCCAGCTAGACAGCACTGAGCCACAGCAATCGTTTCATGTCACAAATGGCTTTGGGACAAGCTAGAGAACCAGTGCAGGGCAGCTCTCTATTACTTTTGCAACTTCCCCTGAGTTGGTACTTATTAATAGGAAGTTGGAGGTGGGATGTAGGAAAATTATGGTTGGAATGGAGTATCTCCCTCTGCAGGACAGAGCAGAACTGTCCTAGGGCTTCCCCGGCTATAAATGCTTACACAAGTAGCTGGTGAATCTGAAACACTGACCTTCTGGTTACTAGCTTAGTGCTTTAAACACAACACCACTAGGGCTCCTACTAGTAGTTGTTCATTATGAAGTGTCAAGTCAAAACCGACTCACAGCAGACCCTCTAGTGGGTTTTCAGTGGCAGGGGAGATTGCCTGTCTTTCTCCCTTAGAGCATCTGGTGGATTTGAACTACCTGCCTTTGGGTTGGCAGTGCAACTCCTTACCCACTAGGCCACCAGACCTCCCTTGGGCTCCTAATGGTTGAGGCTTAAATAAAAACTGCTCAAAGCATTCCTTTTGTGATACTATTTCAGCATATTCCTCTTACCTCCACTTCTCTTCCCTCTCCACACACATACACACTTAGAATCTATCTTACATGGCATAGGAGAAAGAAAAATGACAGATGTGTTCACAAGCAGGGTTAGAGACCAAACGTGTGAGCCTCGGTGCACTGGTATCAGTGCATATGGTTGTTACAATGCTGCAGTTCTTATATCTAAGATGTCCACTGCTAAGAGGGAAACCTCACAGACCAGAATGGGAAAGAAATCTTATAGTAGACAGTCCTAGACTTTTCAAACAGCTAGCTTTGCCTCCTGGCTCTGCCACAAATTGTGTTAACTCTCTGGAATCTGTCAAAACTCATTGAGTCAAAACCAACTCAGGATGTGAGGGTGATCTGGCTGCGACATCTGTCATCTGATTGATTGTAAGGGTTGATTGGGCTGATCTGACTGGCTAGGCAGGTGTTCCCTTCCTCTCTCAACAATCCATGTGCGTCCCTCTGAAAGCTAAGCACCCGGTTGAAGAAGATGACCATCTCCAATAGAAGACCATCGTTTGGTCAAGGGTATATGAGTAAGCTGGGCTCCCCTGCTAGAACCTCTAAACAAGCTCTCAAAACCAACTCATCACACCCAGTTGGAAAGAACAGAAACATGAGCCATTTTTGCTCTCTTGACTGTCAAAGTTGGGCAAAAAGCTAGCCTGTGTGCTAAAACCTGAAAGATGCGTAAAAGCTTGAAGTTGGAAGGAAGGGGATAAAGGAAGTGGGCAGGTACGAAGGTCTGAAGGCAAGGTATTCTAGAGTGACAATAACAAAGAAAATTCTGCATTAAAAAAAAAAACCAAAACAACTTAACAACTCATTAGCGGGAGAGATTTCCCATCTCTCTCCTGCGGACTCTCGGGTGGGTTCAAACTGTCAGAGCGGTGCCACCTTTGTGTTAGCACAACTGCTTACAGGCTGCACCTCCAGAGCTCCCAGGGCTCCGCTGTAGCGTCCATAAAAGGAGGGAACAGCCTTCCCTGGCTGCCGCGTCTGAGACACTTCACAAGAACGCTTCGAGAATTGTAAACAGGCTTTACAGATGTCAAGTGCTTTTACTAGGAGCAGGACACTGGCCAGCCTACTCTTCCCATGTGCCTATAAGCTTGGACTAGGGTCACAGCAACAGGAGCCTTGGCCAGGGACACTCAAATCTCATAAGAGAGATACTGTATTTGACCCCTCACTTTGTTTTTCTTATCTGAAATTGCATTTTAACTTTAAAGGCTTCAGTTAGTGTATGTCCATCCTCCACTCCTGTGCTGAGCCTGACCTTGGGAACAGTTTCTGGTCTCAGAGGTGACTCTGGGGCTACAGACAGAAGCCTGGTCCTCACTACTGGGATGAAGTGACCCCAAGTACCCAATAGGTAGAGAAAGCAGCTGCCCTCATCGCCCTCCTCTGTTCTCCAAACATGCTGCTTCTCATCTGGGCCCCGAGCAGGACAACACCCTCCTCAAGTGCCAATCACAGCGCACAGGAGGGACCTAGAGGGAGGGGTGCAGTGCCCACTTTCCACCTCCCCACACAGGATGGAGTGGATGACACCTGCATTCGGAGAATCAATGACTTATCAATGCAGCTCAAGATCCGGGACCCCGACCAGATCAAGACCATGTACCAGCGACGAAGCCAGCTCAACAACAGGCCAGTGTCAGCTGGGGATACAGCAGAGCTGGGCCCACTTCACAGCCAGCCTTACATTCCCCTTTGCCCCCAGATGGAATAGTTTCCATGACAACCTGCTCCGGTACCAGCAGCAGCTGGAAGGGACCCTGGAGATCCACACGTTGTCCCATGAGCTGGACGACATCATCAGGAGGATAGTGGAGAAGGTAGGAGTGAAAGGGTCCTGGTGTTTGCTGCTTGCAAAGACTCTGAGTCTGGAGTGCTGCCAACAGTCTCCTGGCCTTTCACTCTCCCAGGGTCTGATGGGCCCCTCTGAGGTTAGCTCAAAACCATGGAAACGCCCTCCATGCTGACCCAGAAATTGGTCCCCTGGTCCCTTTCTCCTCAATCTGCTGTGGATCCAGAGCTTGTGCCTCAGTTTCCTTCTGTCCCTGGGCACCCAGAACCCCCATGTGGATCCTCCAGAAACGCACAGGGGAGAAGCTGGCAAAGGCAAAATGAGAACTTTACAGTTGTAGAGTCTTTGGTGAATAAGGGGTGTTCCTATCCTGTCTCCATTGTTCTCCCTCCTCCTGGTCTGCCTGTGACACTCTCTTCTTTGCTTGAGTTTCCAAAGGGATGAGAATCAGAACAACGTAGGAGAAAGCACCACTTGTGAGTGAGCGCATTGCCTCCAAGGAAATGCCAAGCCCCATTCTGCTCCCAGGAATCATCCTGCTTCACATGGTTGGGGCCAAAGCCCTGCTTTAGGTAGCAGGAAGGAAGATGGCACCGAGGGGTGGGAGCCGGGCTGGGCCCTGGCTTTCCACACCGACACCTGTGAAGGGCAGTGATCATACAGTCAAGTGCAGGCTGTCACCAGCCTGAGGCCTTGCAGCTCTGCACGAGGGGGAAACAGAGGCAGGAGCAGGAGAGGAGAGGTTAAGCCAGACACCGCCCCACTCCTCCCCAGAGCACCCTGGCCCAGGCCCTGGACTACGGGGCAGATGTGGCAAGTGTGGAGAGGCTACTGCGCAAACACCAGGAGCTGGAGCAGGAGATGGGCCTCATTGACGCCCAGCTTGAGGTGTGTGGCTGGGGCTGGAGGGGGATCCAGGCCCGGAGGACTTGGATGGACATGGGGCCAACCAGGCCCCCTCTAGACACCCCCACTTCAGGACATGACTGGGGCTGGAGGGGGATCCAGGCCTGGAGGACCTGGAAGGACACAGGGCCAACCAGACCCCCCCGGGTACCCCCACTCCAGAACCCCTATAGCAGGGATCCCCCTGAGCCTGGCCTGCCCCGTCCTAGCCTCCGACTGTCCCCACAGCCCCTGGAGTGTAAGGTAGTCCGCCTCTGCCGGAGCAGTCTGGGGGCAGCCCACGTCCTGCGTGACAAGCATCGGGAGGTGATGGACTGCTGGCGGCAGCTCCAGAGCAGGGCCCAGAAGCAGTAAGGCTACCTTGGGTCTCCTTTCCTCACTATCCCCCCAGCACCCTATCAATCCCCACGTGTCTCCCTGGCCCCTGTGGTTTCTCCTCAAGTAATGGCCTGGATGGTCACCCACCTGACTTGTGGCCCCAGCCCACAGGCCCTCTGGGTGTGGCTGTGAGTGGTAAGGGACAGGACAGACACTGGTGGCAGTGGGGACAGAGCTGATGCTCTTGTGGGTAGGAAGGAGCTACTGGACACCTCACGCCAAGCGCAGATGCTCCAGGCAACACTGCAGGAACTGCAGGCCTGGGCCCGGGGGCTGCGGGCTGAGATGGACACCGGAAGCCCGCCTGGCAGCACCGCAGAGGCCCAGCGCCTGCTGGAGGAGCACCAGGAGCGAAGGGCGAGTGCATATCCAGGGCCTGTCCTGTGATCACACCTGCTGTCCATTCCACCGCCTCTCTCCCAGCTTGTTCTCTGGTTTTGTCTTCATCTCCCACCTCATCTTTCTCCTCTCCCATTCCACTCCTCTGACTATCTTGCAACCTCTCCTCCTTCCTGCTGGGCCTGCACCCTCCACCCCTGGGAGGCTCAGCTCCAGGGATCTGATCACAGTCCCATTGCAGGCTGCGATGATGTCTCGAACAAACAGCATCAGCCTGGCCCGAAGTGTTGGGCAGCAACTACTCGCCACAGGGCCTCTGTGCCCTTCTGATGTCCACCAGGGCCTGGCAGGGCTGGAACAGGAGCTGAGCAGCCTGCAAGGGGCCTGGCAGGAGCACCAGCATCAGCTGCAGCAGGCCCTGGAGCTGCAGGTGGGCATAGTTCAACCCTAGCCTCACCCCCGCCCCTCATTCACCTACACCTGGGCAAGCTCCTGACGAAAACTAAAGCCAGAGATGCTTCTGCGCTAGGGCTTCTCAGCCCCCCTCAGCTCACAAGGATTGCTCTGAGTGCTGTGAACTCTTGTGCCAGGCCCTGGGCCTCCCACCTGAGCCACTGGAAGGGTCACCCCTCTTGGCTCCATTGGCCCCTCTGCTTTCTCCTGCTTTTCCTGTTCTCACCAGCTATTCCTGAGCTCTGTGGAGAAAATGGAAAGTTGGCTCTGCAGCAAAGAAGCTTCCTTAGCCAGTGAGGACTTGGGGGTAGGTACCTAGTGGGATTGGGGAGGAATTCACAACAACAGTGCCAGGCATCCAACCAGCCAGTGCCGCCCGAGAGCCCCAGGCCTGAGTGGAAGAGCCTTTCATCCCTCATCTGCTCCTCCGTATGCCGCTTACCCACCAGCCGAGGCCAATGGTGGTGGAGCACCTCCAGAGGGCATGGTGCCAGGCTGAGGGGCAATCATGGGCACTTCACGAGTAGGCATGTGGCCCTCGTCCATTCTCGTCTTCCTCCCACTAGCCTCCTCTCCATCCTCCTCACTTCCCATACACCCAGGCATTTGCTTTCCCCACCACCACCCTGAGCCTTTTGGAAGATGAGCCTGGCCAATGGGAGGCCCCAGAGAATAGTGTGAAAGGAGTTGAGTGCTCGCTGAGATTGACTATTAGAGCGCGCCTGGCAGCTTCTCGAGAGAAGGCCGGGCAATCTCTCCCATAAAGGGCACAGCCTGGGAAACCCTTCAAGGCAGTTCTAATCTCTCCACTGGGGTTGCAGAAAGTCAGAATTGACTGGATGGCCTCCAACAACAACAGACCTCCCTGTGCTGATGTAAACTGACGTGTTGGGAGTTTAGAGAGGGTGGCCGTTGCGGTATGACAAACTCCCCCTGCCCTGGAAATTCTGATCCTTGAACCCTGTCCCCAAAACCACCCTGATTGAGAATCACTGCCCTAAAGGGAGACACAGGCTGGAGAACCCCCTCTAGGGCTTGAGGGGTGTAGTTTTAGGAGGCAGAGCAGTCACTCTAAGGCTGAGCTGCCTCTTGGTGGACAGCAGATAACTGGATGGGGAGAGGGAGGATGTCTCCCTCATGGCCAGTGTCAGACTCTCCCACTCCCGCCAGGATCCCTCGGCCAACGTGGAGACCCTCCTGAGGAAGCTCAAGGTGCTCAGACGAGACCTGGAGGCTCAGACGGAAAAGATGAGCTCACTGGAGGTCACAGCCCGCAATCTGCACCAGGGAGGGCACCGCGGGGCCCAGAGCGCCCTGGACAGGTTCCAGGCCATGCTTCTGAGGTAGCTCTTGGTTTAGGGGTGTGGGAGCGTGGGTGGGTTGGTGTGGGCACCAGACATCTGGCTCTTCCTTTCTTGTCCAGCCTCTTGGCCCCACATTTACAAGCCTTTCCCCCAAATGTCAGCCTTTAGGGACTTCAAACAGCACATGGGAACTTTCATGAAAGTTCTATGTATTCTGGGTGGATACTGAAAAATTAAGAGAAAATAGTATAACTGAATGGGAGACATAGGTCAGACGGCCCCTAATCCCACTGCTGCCCATTGATGATGGGACTTTGCCTCAGTCCCCAACGTCTGAATCTCACTTCCATAGTAAGGTGTTAGGGTTAGGGGTCGTCTCCTGGGGTTGTTGTGAGGATTAGAAAAGAAGACCCCCTCAGTTCTAATGGCTTAGTGGTAAGGAGCTGTGTTGCCAACACAAAGGCACAGTGTTCAAACCCACCGTTTCTCAGGAGAAAGATGGCAGTCTCTTCCAGTGCAATTTACAGCCTCAGAAGCCCACTGAAGGGTCAGCTAGGAGTCTGGCCCAGTAGCAGTGAGTGAGGGATGGTCTGAGCATGGTGCCTGGCACAAATGAACAAGCCGACAGATTTCGTGTCTTAACTAGTTCAGCCACAGATGCAGAACTAGCACAGTTAATGAAACAGTAGATTCTACCTTTTTTCTTTCATAAAAGCTCATCTGGTTTGAATGCCTTGCTCAGAAACTCAGGTCAAGGCAAAATTGACTACACACTGGGTTCCAGAGGCAGCCCGCTGCGTCGCACAATGTTTCTGGCTCCTGACAGTGTCTGTCTGTGCTGTGCCTGCAGACACAGGGACCATCCACACTGAAGGTGAACCCACCTGAGTTACCCAGGGAGGTCTTTGAGGTGACAAATGGCAAATGTTGATCCACTTGTCTCTGTCAACACAACCTCTCCTTTCAGTCCCATAGGTGGTTCCTAGCAGGCCAGCTGTCCCTCAGCACAGGTCACCTGACGGGCCCCTCCCCATGCCTCACAAGCTTCTATCTTCCACTGAAAGGGAATTTCTTTTCCTTCAAACCTGTCTGCATCCCCTAGACCCAACACTCTTTGGTGGCCCAGCCAGTGGGAGACAAAGGTCCATAGACGTGTCAACATGTGGAAGTGGGACTGTGGGCGCACCAGCGTGGGAGCAGGGATGGGGAGGATGTGAGACATAAAGAAAATATTAAAATACCTCTTCTTTTTTATTTTCAAATGTTTTTAATTTTATTTTTGTGCATATGACAAGGTATTTAATATATCGGTACTTTGCATATAAATGATTAAGTAAGGAACCCTGCTAGTGGTGTAGTGGTTAAATCAAAAAGATGCCAACCAAAAGATGGTGGTTGTAACCCATCAACTGTTTTTCAGGAGAATGCTGTGACCACCTGCTTCATTGAGGATTACAGTCTTGGGAACACTGGGCCAGTTATTCTATGTCCTATATGGTTCCTATGAGTTGGAATCAACTGGCAGTGCAATTTCAGTTCACAACTAGAAACATAGTATAAATTTAGGGGTACCTGCTCAAGCTTCTCTCTAATAACAGTGCCTGATTTTTTTTTTAAGACACTGAGAACGCCTTGCCGTGAAGTCAGCTATGGCTGACCCTCCAGTGGGTTTTCAGAGGCTGTAAATTGCACTAGAGGAGACTGCCTATCCTATGCAGCTGCTGCAGGATTTGAACAACCAGTGTCTCTATTTCAGAGGAAATATCAGGCTGTAACATACTAATGCCTAAGAAAAACGGCTCTGTGTGTGTGTGTGTGTGTGTGTGTGTGTGTGTGTGTGTGTGTGTGTGTGTGTGTGGTGTGTTATACGCATGCACCAGATACTGGTGAGTAGAGCATGACACCCTCCTTCTGGCAGGAAAGAGGCACTCCTGAAGCGAACTGGGACCTGTCACCACCAGCTGGAGGAGCTTCGGAAGCTGCAGACATTCCTGCAGGAGTCCTATGAGGTTCTAGTTACTTGAGAATCAGGAGCTGGTAGGGGAAGAGAGAAGTCACTCCCAGGAGAGGTCGCTTTTCCTCTGGGGCAGAGTTTAAGGGAAAGGGAAGGGTCCCAAGCAGTAGAACCTGATCTTCCCTGTGTGCCCAGGTGACTGCATGGCTGAGGAAGAAGAACCAGGTGGTTCTGGAAGAGGATCTTCAGGATCCAGCCACGGTGCAGACACAATTGCAGAAGCAGCAGAAGCTCCAGGCCGAGCTGGACTCAGCTGTGCACCAGAAGCAGAGGCTGCAGATGGTGAGGCCAGTGAGGGGTGACACAAGGCAATCTTGCAGGTCAGAGCAAGGGACACCCCCACCATTCCCTGTGGCCATTGCTCACTGAGTACATTTGTATGCAGACACCATGCAGAAATGTGGTGTGAAGCAATGCTTCCCAGGGTACAGTCTCCAATAATGGTGACTTCAATATTTTGGGCAGAAGATGGGGATCCAGACTTCTTTTTTTAACATGACAAAATTTGTCATTGTAACCATTTTAAGCTCAGTGGCATTAATCACACCCACAAAGTCATGCAACCATCACTGCTATCTGCTCAAATCCATTAGTGACTCCAAGGGACATAAATAGGCAGTCTCCTCTCATGGAATTTACAGACTAAAACATCCAACACAAAGTCAGTTATGAGTTGGTTCTGACTCAACAGTAATGAGTTTTTGAGATGAAGCAGAAACTCAGCACCTATGAAGCACTCACTCACGCCTAGTTCTCCCTCCTCCCAGCCCATGGTGCCCATGAATCTCCATTCTGTCTCTATACACCTATCTTTTCTAGAGCATTCATATAAACGGGATGATGCCTGAATTGTCCTTCTGTGCCTAGCTTATTTAGTTCAACATATGTTGTTGTTATGTGCCCTCGAGTCACCTGCGACTCATAGCGACCCTATGTACAACAGCCCTAAACTCCGCTCTGTCCTGAGCCAATCGCACTGTCTCTGACA